AAGAAACTTCGTTTTGAAGGGCCCTCACAAAAAGAGCGGGCGCGCTTTTGAAATCGGAGTTTTTCACTTGGAGAGGGAGACATTTTGCCACATTTTTTGATACTTCCTGGATACAAAATGGTACGTTTTTGCTACTGGATCAGGCCCGTCACTGTGCTAGTCCGTTTTGTCACAAAATGTCACAAAAATCACTGCAGCGACTGTGCATGCGAACGTGTGTAAAAACGAAAACGTTTTCCCGCAAAGACCTCTGCAAAACCTCACGCAAACCGTCGAAAAACCGCACCCGAAATCTCTTCAAAAATGCCCGATAACCGACGTGCAACCCGAACACAGACGTCCGCCTCGACCCACTCAGCTCGTCAAACCAATTGTCCTCGAATCTCACACCAAAACTCGTTCCTTTTTTCGGGCCGTTTTCGACATTTTTTCGCTCCGAAAAGCCAAAAAAGCAGAATATTCGAAGCGAACGTCCCCTGAGGGAATCTGCGCCGCTTCCTGACCTCGGGCCCGTCATTATGGCTGAGGGGCCAATGTTGGATGAATGGTCGACCGATATCGCCGAATAAACGGACCGAAACGGGATTTTTCGGCCGAATAATGGATGGAATGGCGTGATTGCGGAAGATTTGATGGATTGAGGAAGAAAAAATTGGTATAAATGGAGGAGAAAGTACCGGAAATGCGGAATAAGGCATTTTGAATTAAAATCAATGTTACTTGTAAAATTCCCAATATTGCCGGTCAAAATGACCAACCTGACCTGGATTTTGCCCAATATGACCGGTTAAAATGCCCAATATGATCAATTTGACTCGTCCAAATGCCTATGCTAGCTGTTAAAAATGGTCAACCTGACCAGACTTATGCACACTATGACCAAACCGCCCTCTGGAAATGCCCAATACGACCAATCTGACTTGCCAAAATGCCCAATCTTGCCGGCCAAGATGCCCAATATGATCAATTTGACCCGTCCAAATGCCCAAGCTGGCCGTTAAAAATTACCAACCTACCTTCTGGAAATGCCCAATATGACCAATTTGACCAGTGGAAATGACCAATATGACCTTTCAAAATGCCCAATATGACCAATCGGACTGACGGAATTGACCAACCTGCCCTCTGGAAATGCCCAATATGACAGGTCAAAATGCCCGATTTGACCAAATTAACCTGTCAAAATGATAATATGACCAACCTGCCATCTGGAGATGCCTAGTATGACTAATCTTATGGGTCAAAGTGCCGATTCTGACCAGTAGAAAGGGTAAATCTGACCGGCCATTATGACCAACCTGCCCTCTGGAAATCTCCAATATGACCAATGTGACCGGTCAAAATGACCAATCTGACCTCTGAAAATGCCCAATATGTCCAATCTGACATGTCAGAAGGCTCAATATGGCCAATCTGACCTGTGTAAAGGGCCAATCTGACCTGCCAAAATACCCAACCTGTCCTGCCAAAGTGCCCAATAGGCCTTACCTCCCCTCTGGAAATGCCCGATATAATCAATCTGACCGGTGAAAATGATCGAAATGACCGGTTTAGAATGACCTATCTTCCGCAATCTGAGCCTGTCAAAATTTTCAGCCTGCTCTGTGGAAATGCCCAATGTGACCAATCTGACCGTTCAAAATGACCACTAAAATGACCAACATGACTGATCAGGCCAATCCTTAAACAATCCCGTCAAGTTCAGAGACTCTCTTAGAATTTTCGATTTTTTCTGGCAAGTTGATCGGTCATATTAGGTCACTTGCCCCGGCAAAATTTTTTTACTACATAAGACAGCATTTGACCGGCCAAGTTCAATTAAATTAATAAAAATCGCCAATAATGCTTCAAAAGCAAAGAAACACGTCTTTTCTCTGGCCGTCTCTCCTCAGTTTGCACAGTCTCTCGTCTAGAAAGACCTTTGAATATCTCGGCTGTAACCGAACTTTTCGATCTAAAATTTTCAGGACTTAGTCTGGAGCCTATATATATTGCATGTGCAAAGTTTGAAGTTGCTCTGAAACTTTTTCTTTGAGAAATTTAATTTTTAATTTTGAGATTTTTTGTAAATTTTGATGGTGAAAATCAACTTGAAATGTAAAATACGAAGACCAAAAATGCTCCTCATATATATTGCAATTTTTGAACGATATTTTACCTCCTAATTTTTGGCGTTATTAAAAAAAATAACCTTTTTTATGCATTTTTTCCTCTCCTCTCAAATAAAGCTCATCATTTGTAAATTCCCCAACGCAGCCGGCAATTAGCTTCGACTAATTACGTGTGGGAATGGCCTGCAAAAAACACCGCATCGCCTTCGTTCGCAAAATCCCACCTTCCGCCGCGGGGCGAAGAGGGGGGGGAGAGGGACGCTAATTAAAGGGGGGCGAATTCCATGAAGGTGAGGCGGGCTGGCGGGCTGCTGCAGAGCCCCTTAGGGCTGTGGAAACACGGGCTTTTTCCAGCCCATTCCGCCTTTCTCTCTCATCTCGTCGGGGGCGGAAATTACAGGGCCTCAGGGATGGCGAATGGAATGGCTGTTTTCCTTCAATTCCATCGTGTTTAGCTCCCCCCGTTTCGGGTGAGCTTTGATTTAATGTTAAATTAAGGGGGAATCAGAGGGAGTCTCATGGTTATTTTCATTTTGTAGTGGTCGACAATGATGTTAGTTTATGTTAGAGTGATAATTCAATATTTGATTTTTGATAATTTTGCGATTTTCGGCCGGTTTTTTAAACATCACTCAGCTCTGGTGCCTAGCGTAATATAATCTTGGATTTCTCGATCGCTTTATCAAGTAATCACTAGATTTTTTGTTAGTATTATCTACGACTTTCTGTCGTTACAACTTTTCTGGTCAACGATAGTTGAATTCGTATCGGTTCGTTGTTGTATTTTAGAGGAGGCTTGAAGAAGGCTTAGTTAGTAGAAATAATAAGATTGATCGGGTCCTAGGATAGCTTATCACCTATTTTGAGCTTGGAATTTTCTGCGACTCTGCACTGTGCATGAACCCGAAAAGTGCATTTGCACAGTGCAATTTTCTTGTCTTTGCCTTATATTGTCGCGCGCGATCCCCATTTCTTATCACCTATTTTGAGGTATTTTGCATGTACTCACATCAATAGTATCAAGATAAAAGTTACGGATCTTTGTTTTTTGCCCTAAATATTGTTCTTTTATAATATGTTACAATAACTCAGGATAAAGGAAACTAACCTTATTAATAGCTACAATTAGAAAGTGATATATTGCAAGTCTCCGCCGAACCTTCGCCGAGCCTTCGCCGACCATCCAACGGCTTTGCCAGGCCTCATAGGCACTTCCTACAAGCTTTTTTTGGTTATCCACCTGCCCTACGCCCCGTATCGATTTTGTGTTGACCAGAAATGCCTGAAATGTTGCTGACCCAGATGTCGGGACGTGGATTTTTTTATTAGTATGAATTAGACCGTTTATTGGCCTAAGATGTCCGCTCTACATCCCTCATGGACATGGCTGGCGGACCGGAACGGATGGGGCCGGCAAGGCCAGCTTATCCATCCTAATATAGCATGACAGAACTTGTTATTAGCTAACCAATAGCTCCTATATTTATATTTCTTGTGGAGCCTCATAGGTATCCACAATTCCCACAGAAATTAGCATAAACCAACTCATATAAAAGCAACGTCTCATCACCAATTATTCGAACATTATCTCACTTCTCTTTTCCCTGCGTGCGGTCGCAATAAACCTTATTCCTAATCTTGTGTCTACCCTCGATACCTATCTACGTTTGATCATCCACTACAACTTTGCCTACATTTAAAAAAATGTCTTCTAATACAGTGAGGGACCTGATCCAATGGCAAGCAACGTCTCCTTTTGCATCCCGGAAGGGACCAAAATGACTCCAAACCATTCCCTTCTCTAAGCTAAAAAACTCCGCTTTGAAAAGCGCGCCCTTTCCTTCAAGGCGGGCTCTTCAAAGCTGAGTTTTTTAGCTTAGAGAAGGGAAGGGTTTGGAGACATTTTGGTTCCTTTCGGGATGCAAAATGAGTCGTTTTTTGCCATTGGATCCGGTCCCTCACTGTACTGCTTATTCAACCCATGGGAAGCTAATTTTACCATATTCTTTGCATATTCTTAATCAGCATGATTTTACACGGTTTTTTTGAGATATCTCCCGTCTAAAAGTAGGAGCCCCAATAAAAGTACTTTCCTTGCAAAGTAACCTTAATTTTTTGAGCCTACCTCTTCACGGAGTTGTGAAATGGCCCGCCGAAAAAGGGCAGTTACGATAAGCGACCGCCTTCCTCGCCCAGGGGCTCTTATCGTTGGGTTTTTTTCAAAAAAGAGGCTCTTTTCGAACCTAGAGGGAGACCGGGTACGAACTTGGAAAATACCTTTTAATTCGCTCTGAGTAAAGGGCTCGTCATTTTGAAGAAATTTCGCCTAAACTTTGCAGAAACAACCGGGATTTTTAGGTCGAAATTTGGGGAAAAATGGGACATTTTTTTGAATTTTGGTATGAAAAGGTTTCCGCTTATTTTTGTTGTAGAATGTACCCACAAAAAATATTTTTTTCCGCACAAAACTGGCAAAGACATGGCTTAAAATTGTTTCACTCCGACCGACCTCCGACTTTTGCGTTGTCTCTCGGCAGTGAAAATTGTTTGGTATCTCACAAGGGAAGTCTCCCCAAGTGCGACGCTCAGATTTTCTTTAAAATTTGCACACATGTCGGGCATGGACTAAGTATCAATTCCTGAAAGTTTTAGCTCGCGCTTTGCGGGCGCCGCCGAGATATCGAACGATTTTTGCCGCCGAGAGAGCACGCTAAACGTGGAGAGCGGTCAGAGAGAAAAACGCTTTTTGGCCAAACTTTGGCAGTTTCGTGCGGAAAAATTTGGCTTTAAGAAACATTATCCTTTACGGTAGAAATAGGCATCAGCGCGATCGCAAAAACAGATGATGAATTTTGAATGCTCGTATTTTACCCAATATTTTTTAGCTGGATGTCGTTGAAATCACCGCTGAAACGGCTGTCCGACAGCCCTTCCGAAGCAAGTTTAGCGGTAGCTGAAACCTCAAGAATTCCGGAGATGTCGCAGCTCTTTGACAGTTCCGATCATCCGCCAGTTCAGCCGCGATCCCCCCGAGTTTTCACGGCCGAGAAAAAGCTGGAAGTCGTGGCGTTCGCGAAGAAGTCGTCGATCAGAGCCGCTTCCAAACATTACGGAATCGACCGGAAGAGGATACGAGAATGGCGAGATCGAGAGGACCTGTTGAGGTAGGGGAATACAACGACAAATATATTATGTATCTATAGTATTAGTCTGTCGGGAAAGTTATGAGCACAGTGTCGTAATCGCGTCGTTGAAGTAAAAAGCAATTTGATTTTATCGTGACGCAATTCATTTTCTCTGCGGCGATGCGACTTTCGATGCGACGGAGTGCACATTATTTTCCCGACAGACTGGTATTTTCATAAAGTGCATGGCCATTATTTCGCTAGCGCATCGCACGGTGCAGCACAGTGCAAACCTCAAAAAAGCCGTTTGCACTGTGCAGACTTTTGCGCAAAGCCGCCGCGGAACCGCACAGCGCTTTAGAAACGTTTTCTTACGCTTGTCGCCAACGCACAGTGCATTTCCCTCTTTTCGCACTCAAAAAAAAAACCCGTTTTGCACTGTGCAAATTTCAGGTGCCGTTTCGCAGCGATATTTCAAATGCACAGTGCAAAACTCCAAAAAAGATGAGATGCACGGTGCAAAAGGGGGGTTTTTATGGTTTTTTATGCACGAGTTTTCTCTCGCACTCAAACACGGTGTGTGGGAGAAAAATCAATTTTTAGCCACATCTTTGTCATTTTCGCATGGAAAAAATTGATTTTTTGTGGAAACATTACCCTCTGTGGTAGAAATAGGCATGAAAAATTTTGTCCCAAAATTCGCTAAAAAGTGTCACATTTCTGGCAACTTTCGACCTAAAAATCTCGGTTGTTTATGCAAAGCGCGAGTTAGAAGTCTTGCATGTCTCATAGAACAAATTATTCTAAATTTGTGAAAAATAAAAAAATTGCTTTCAGACAAATGGACCCGAATCAAAAGCGCGCCAAAGGCGCGGGTCGGCCCGTCAAATCCAAGGACTTCGACCGCACAATCGCCGAATTAGTGGAGAATGCGGCCAGATCGGGCGCCAAAATCAATCGGCGCTTCATCCTGGAGAAGGCGACCGCCATTCTGACGGAGAAAGCGCCGGAAAACGGGGTCGACTTGAAGCTGAGTCACGGCTGGATGGACTCCTTTCTGAAGCGACATCAACTTATTCGGCCAAAGAGCAAAAGTTTGGACGAAAAATTCGCGAGAATGGGCGAGGATTCGATGACAATTCAAGATTTCCTAAATGGCCTCGAGCTGCCGGCTTGCAGCGGGAAGGAGAGGCCGGAAAGTCCAACATTGGACTGTCTACAGTGGCTACTGGAAGCATGCCGTAAAATTGAGGCCGGGAATTTGGAGCAGAACGAAGAAAAAATGGGAAAAATGGAAGGAAATGAGAGAAAATGCATTATCCATGAGGAAAAGGGGGAGAAAGCCCTTGAAATTGACGGAGAACTGAAAGAAAAGAGGCTAAAATACGATGGAAATGGGTTTTCTGTTAAAAATGAAGAGTGAAATTGTTAAAAAAGTAGTGGAAAGGCGCTACAAGTTGTTAATTTTGAAAATTCAAAAAAAAAATTTTTTATTTTTTTTTTTATTTTTTGTTGTTCATGTCATCACAAAATTTCGGGTGATCTCAAAATACGGTTGAAAATTTACACAGTCTATTTTTATCGATAATAAATTTTTATTTGTGGATTTTTGGATTTTATTTTTTTTAAAAACTTGGCCAAACTTACAAGGCCAAAGTACCAAACTGCAACCCTCAGATTTTCTTTGAATTTTACACAACCGTCGTACATAGGCCACTTGTCAAATACTGAAAATTTTAGCTCCCGCTTTGCAGGAACATCCGAGATATTCAATGATCTTTGCGGCCAAAAGAGCACGCGAAACATAGAGAGCGGTCAGAGAAAAAAAAAATTTGCGAGATCTTTGCCAGTTTTTTCCGCATGGAAAAATTTGATTTTTTGTGGAAGCATTTACCTTTACGGTAGAAATAGCCACGAAACTTTTGAAGCCAAAATTCGCAAAAAGGTATTTTCATAAAGTGCGTAGACTTTTTTTGCTCGCGCACGGTGCATTTTGAACCTTTTCCCATGCCTGTCGCCAACTCACAGTCCATTTCCCTCTTTTCGCACAGTGCTCGCTGGAAATCTGGCGTATGTCTTGCTATGCCCTAATTTTTATTTGTGTTTCGTAAAATTCCCGAATAATTCTTCGAAACTTTGGGAAGGCATAGAAAGGTCAATTCAAAATACATTTTTTTGAAATTCAATCGGTTAAAAATGGCGGGTCTCAGCTCCAGAAAAATCTAAATTTCGGGAAAATCGGCGGACTCTCCGCGGAGAAATTCAAAGAAACAACTTACCCGTTTCGAGTGGCCCACCCTGTATGTCTATCAATAACCCGGCTTCAAATGGAGCCGGCTCTTAGCTCCGGCTCCGAGCCCAAAGTCGGAGCCAGGCTTCTCAGCGGTCAGAAAAGTAAAAATTTCGTGATCTTTGTTAAACCAATGGTTCAAAAAATACTGGAGGATATGTTGCGTACGACTTGGCTCAAAAACGTTGAGTCACCTCTAACACTAATGGATTTATATATAATAGTAAAAAAACCGCAACAGTGAAATTTTGCACGGGCGTCGGAGCTAAAATTCTGGCCTCGGCTCCGGCTCTGGGAGCTAAGAGCCGGAGCCGAAATTTTGGCCATGGCAATCTCTGGTAAAAACCAAAAAAAAATATCGAAAAATACAGTAACCCAAAATCAAAATCATCCCTTTACAACCCGAAAACCCCCGTCAAAATCTCACAATGCAAATGATCATGACTTTTTGCCCTGAATACTACAGTAACCCCAAATTGAAACACTCCATTTTCGTATAATCACCAAAAAACCCAGCTTCCGACCAGTTGCTTTTGTGCCAACCGACCATTCGCCGAAGCGCTTAAGGCTTCTGATATAAACAAAAGAAGTCCAATTTGCAAGTGAGGAAGAGAAAGAAGAGAAAAAGGAAAAGTTTTGTTTCAGGCGCCCCTCCAAAAGCGCCGAGATAATCACGTCTCCACGGGCCCCCCTCCGAAAAGCCGTCGCGTTCCCTAACAAAGACTTGTTAAACAAACCAGAAGACGGCCCAGAAATGCCCCCCGCGGCCACCGGAAACGCAAGCCCCTCAAGGCTGAGGGGGGATGGAATGCCTCCAAAAACTTGGGACATCTGGATTTGAGGAAGGTAAACAACAGCCCTAACCGGCGATTGAAAAGATAATTGAGGAGGAAGATGTGAAAATTTGATGAAAATCGAGGAAATGATGACAAATACAGGGTGGCCAGAGAAATTCCGCGGAAAGTTTTTATCAATTTCTCGGCGTTTATGCAAGATATTCAAAAAATTCTTTTTGCACAAGAAAGAAGAAGTTGGATGGTTTTTTGCCTAAAAACTTTTTTTCTCCGCGAACGCGGAACGTATTGCATTCGGCGGAGACTTTTGATCGCTTTTTTGGTCAGTCGGCGCCAAAAGTCTTTGGAATTTTTCTCGAGTCCCCATAAAATCGATCGATACGGGGCGTAGAGCAGGTGAATACCCAAAAAAATTGTAACGAGTGCCTACGAGGCCTGGCAAAGCCGTTGGATGATTGGCGAAGGCTTAGCGAAGGCACAGCGGAGACTGCCGAAGCTTACAACATGTCTCACTTTTTCTAATTTTAGCCATTACCAACTTCAGTTTTCTTTACCCTGAGTTCCTGCAACACATAAAAAGTTAAAAATACACACAGATCAAATGGTCGAAATGCGATTTTATACATTTTAAAAGTAAAGTCTTACAGGATATCGAAAAAATGATGAGCACAATGTTGCTGGTGCCGATCGTGTCGCTAAAATCAAAAATAATTTGACTTTGCCTCGACACAATTCATTTTTTTCGGCAGCGATGCGATTTTCGATGCGACGGAGTGCTCATTATTTTCCCGACAGGGTGATATGCCAAGTGTATTTTTCTGATATCTACAAGACTTCTAGCATTGGCCATGGAAATTTTTTGGCCGGCAGTTGTAAAAGTATTTGTCTTTCCATAAAGTGCGTAGAATTTTTTGCCGCCGCGTAGTGCATGAAAAATTTCATGCCTATGTATTTCAATCGTAGAGGGTAATGTTTTCACAAAAAAATCAATTTTTTCCTCATTATACAGAGATGTGGCCAAAAAGTCTTTTTTCTGATCGCTCTCCGCATTTCGCGTACTCTCTCCACCATCGGTCATTAAATGAAAAATTAGGAACCAGAGATTGCCACGGCTCCGGAGCCGGCTCTTGGCTCCGGCTCTGAGCGGCTCCGGCTCCGAGCCGGGAGCCAGAGCCGGAGCCGGAAATTTTGGGGTCGGCTCCGGCTCCCGAGCCCAAAGTCGGAGCCAGGCTTCCCAGCGGTCAGAAAAGTAAAAATTTCGTGATCTTGTTAAACCAAATTGCTTGAAAAAACACTGCGGAGGATGTCACTTGACTGCAAAAACGTTGGCTGTATGATCTGTGGCACTAATAACTTTTATTTTTGGAAAAATATTTTAAAAAAACATTTTGCATAGGAGCCGGGATTCGGAGCCGGAGGCTTTTTTAAATTTTGCACGGAGCCAAGAGCCGGAGCCGGAGCTGCAAATTTGGCCTCGGCTCCGGCTCTGGGAGCTAAGAGCCGGAGCCGGAGCCGAAATTTTGACCGTGGCAATCTCTGTTAGGAACCCAGATTTTCATCTAGAGACCGCTCAGGATGGATAATTTGCACGGAAAAAATGGCCGATCTGACCGGTATATTTATCAGCATAACATATTCAAATGAATAGCGTTAGGGCCGGCTTTCCTCGGCGCAATAACAGAAAGATAGCGAATGCGTTAAATTGGGAGGTTATCAACAAAAACTGCATCATCCCTTTCTTATTAAAAGATGTTGGTTCCGGTGTTTTTTTCACAAATTGAAGGGCCTCAAATAAATTTTGCGAATTTTGAGAAACGGTTGTCAATCTGGCTTTCTGCCAAGGCCATTGTAGGGACCACCCAACTCGTTGTTTGCGAGATCTTTCGCTGCTTAATTTGCCCGTCAGACCGAGTTAAAGAAGTCACGATGCAGGAACTAACAACAGGCAACTGTATTTGTTTACTCAAAAATGACGTGTTTTTACGTTGCCTGTCAAATTTATGTTTTTGGTATTTTATCTTTCAGGAGCCGTGCCAAAAAATGTCAAAGGACTTTTTTTTGGTCCACCTAGTATCCTCAGTCTGCCGGGAAAATAATGAGCTCTATTTTGTCGAAGAAAATCGCATCGCCGCGGAAAAAATCAATTGTGTTATCAAATTTCCCTTCACTCCAGCGACGCGCCCGGCGCAGCGACATTGTACTCATTATTTTCCCGACAAACTGAAATTTTTATAAAGTGCACTGTGCGATCTTGTCGCCATCGCACTGTACACAAAAAACACCCCATTTCGCACTGTGCAATGTCTTGCTTTTTGCACCGTGCAATACGCTTTTTCCTTTCACAAAAATCCCCGACCTTTTGCACCGTGCATTCACCTTTGTTTTCGTTTGCACTGTGCATTTAAAATATCGCTGCGACTTGAGCTTTTTTCAGCTGCGCCGTCGGGGTTTTGCCGAAGATTTTGCAGAGTGCGACGATGAGCCGACACCCAAGGGCGAAGAAACGAAAACCCTAAAATTGTGACACGGATGAGAGAGAACTTATGCGTGATCACAACGATACCACAGTCATGCCTTAGCGCCCTCTGGCTTATGAGTTACAAACGGGTGGAAAGAAAATTTTGTCATTCGGTTTTTTGCCTTCTTCAAAAAAAGTGCATGAAAAGTGCATCAAATGATATGATTTTTTGGGTATCGTGTTAGACCGTCCCACAGTGTTTCTGTGCCCAATTTCAAGGTTCTAGGCCCCGCAGTTCCCGAGATCCAGGTGGAAAGAAAATTTTGGCGACCAGTATACTCTTCTACAACTAGTACATTTTCATTTTTTCCGTCCATAATTTTTGCACTAAATTTTCACTCAGGAAATTTCACTTTCAATTTCAGCCAAAAAATCATGATTTTTCTCCTCATCCTCTCCGCAATTTCCCTCCTTCTCTTCTACAACTACTACTACAAGCGTCGCAATCTCCCACCCGGCCCCGCTCCCCTCCCACTTCTCGGCAATGTCCTCGAATTGATAAAACAAGAGCGTTGGGAGGACAAGTTCCTAGAATGGAGTCGAGAATACGGCTCCACGTTCACCTACTGGCTCGGCGAAATGGCATTCGTGGCGGTTTGCGATTACAGCGACATGCAGAATTACTTTGTCAAGAACGCGGAGATCTTTTCGGACCGTCCGCGCAAGAAGAACATCCTGCACACGTATCGGGGCGGCTCCGACGGCGTCGCCATGGCGAATGGCGAGGAGTGGAGGGAGCAGCGGCGATTCGTGCTGAAAGTCTTGAGGGACTTTGGGCTGGGGAAGAATCAGATGGAGGAGAGGGTGAGTTAGCAACGTTAGAGGTTTCAGTCTGTCGGGAAAATAATGAGCATTCTGTCGCGTCGGAAATGGCATCGCGACAGTGAATTAAGAAAATAAATTGTGTCGTGGTAAAATATTATAAAATAAAATTGCTTTTCACTTCAGCGATCGGCGCACGCCAAAAAATTCTTTCAGAAAATTGAAAAAGCAAGGAATCCCGGATCATTCATTTTTTGCGAAGTGCCACGGAATCATCGAGTTAGAAAATTTTTTTCTCTTCGAAAAAGATTCCTTGTTTTTTCACTTTTTCTTTGACGTGCGGCGCAGCGACATTGTGCTCATTATTTCCCCGACAGACTGATAGCCGAGACAAAAAATTATGATAATTTGCAAAGGGCAGCTTTGGCGCGTGGCTGCCAAAACCGCGAAAAAGGTGCTTTGCACAGTGCGTTTTCGTTCTTTTTTGCTTACGTCGCACGATTCCCATTTTTCGCAGCGGCAAATCATTTTTTTTCACAGCGACAAAAGTTGGGGCTGCGATAAATTCTCAAGCCTTTTTTGTGGGCATCCGAGACAAAAAAAAATATTTTTTTAATAAAAAAATTGATAATTTTGTGATCATAAAAATGAAAAAGAATTTACTAGTCTGTCGGGGAAATAATGAGCATAATTTCGCTGCGCCAATCGCGTCGCTGAAGTGAAAAGAAATTTGATTTTGTCGCGACACAATTCATTTTCTTGGTGATGCGATTTTCGACGTGACAGAGTGCTCATTATTTTCCCGACAGATTAATCCGTGCCCCTGTCTCATAGCTCTCTTCATTTCCAATTTGAACGACTTTCCCGCCTTAGCAGACGCAATCAAATCGTATCTCCGACAATTCCCTTGTAAAATACAGTGGGGGACCTGATCCAGTGGCAAAAAACGTACCATTTTGCATCCAGGAAGCATCAAAAAATGTGGCAAAATACCTCCCTCTCCAAGTGAAAAATCTCAGATTTCAAAAGCGTGCCTGCTCGTTTTGTGAGGGAGCCCTTCAAAAAGAAGGGTTTTATTTGGAGAGGGAAGCATTTTGCCACATTTTTGATGCTTCCCGGAGTCAAAAATGTACGTTTTTGCCACTGAAACGGGACCGTCACTGTACACTCATTCTCTTGATTTCCCACCAACCTTTCAGATCACCGTAGAGCTCCAACTCCTCCTCGAACGCATCAACAACGAGCTGCCTGCCGACGAAATCGACCTCTTCAAGTTCTCGGACATGGCGGTCGGCTCCATCATCAACAACATTGTCTCCGGCTACCGGTTCACCGAAGGCAAAGAGGATGAGTTCTATCGGCTCAAAGAGTTGGCCTGTCGTTTGGTGAAAGCGTTTGCGTCGCCAGCCGCGAATTTGGTGTTGAATTCGTCGAAATTGATGCGAATTCCGATCATAAATGAGAAAGCCAAGGAGAGGGTTGAGCTAATGCTCGCTTTTTACGAGTTCTTCACAATGCAAATCGACGCGCATTTGAGGGAAAATGATTACACGCAGGAGCTGGAGCCGCACGATTACATTGATGCCTTCCTAATCGAACGGCAGAAGAGGATTCAGAAGGTCGGTTAAGGGCCAAAAATTTTTTTGCAAAGGTCTCAAGAGGAGGGTATTTTACTACAGTAATGTTGGGTTATTGTAGTTTTCGATTTTTTTTTGGTTTTTAAACATTTTTTTTGATTTTGAGCCAGATTATCGAAAAAATAAAATTTTTTTTTACAAGTAAAGTAGCACCAAGTGCGATGCTCAGATTTTCTTGAAATTTTGCACATATGTTGAGTATAGGTGACATATCAATTCCTCCAAGTTTTAGCTCGCGCTTTGCAGGCGCAGCCGAGATATTCAATAATCTTTCCCGACGAGAGAGTACACGAAAACCGGAGAGCAATTAGAGAAAAAACGGTTTTTGGCCATTTCTTTGCCAGTTTTGTGCGGAAAAACGAATTTTTTGTGGGAAAATTAGCGCTGTGCGTTAGAAATTGCCATGAAATTTTTCATACAAAAATTCGCAAAAAAGCGATTTTTTCCGACTTTCGAGTTAAAAATCTCTGTTCTTCCTTCAAATTGCAAACTGAGAACCCCCAATATACCTTGTTAGGCAATGATAGTCTAAATTTGTGGTACTTCCTATCTGTCTGTCGGGAAAATAATGGTCGTCTCGCTGAATCGAAAAGAAATTTGATTTTCCCGCGACACAATTGGTTTTCTCAGCGGCAATGCGACTTTCGCTGCTATAGAGTGCTCATTATTTTCCCGACAGACCGATTTTGCCTTCCCAATCCATCTTGGAGTTTTCAGAACGGAACCGAAGGCTATTTCACTCTGGCCGCCGTCCGCAACATTTGTCTCGACTTGTGGGTCGCGGGACAAGAGACAACCTCCTCAACGATGAACTGGATCATCGCCTATATGATCCGCTATCCGGAAGTTCAGGAGAAATTGCAAAAAGAGCTGGACACTGTGATTGGAAGCGGCCGGATTGTCGGCAACTCCGATAAAATGAACTTACCCTATGCCAATGCTGTTATAATGGTTGGTTCTTGAAATTTACAAAAGATTTTCAATTTTAGGAGTGTCAGCGATGCTGCAACTTGGTCGCACAGAACCTTCCACGAGCTGTTAGTGAAGACGTGCAGTTTGATGGATACGTTTTCAGGAAAGGAACAATTGTCATCCCGCAAATCTCAGTGCTTTTTAGAAACGAAAAGGTGAGATAGCAGAGAGATATCAGTCTGTCGGGAAAATAATGAGCACTCTGTCGCATCGAAAATCGCATCGCCGGCGAGAAAATGAATTGTGTCGCGGAAAAATCGAATTGCCTTTCACTTGAGTGATGTGACTCATTATTTTCCCGACAGACTGATATCCGTGTCTTGGTTAGTTATTTTTATAAAGTGCATAGACATTTTTCGCCGTCGCACAGTGCATTTCAAACTTTTTCTCACGCTTGTCGCTAACGCACAGTGCATTTCCTCTTTTCGCGCAGTGCAAACCACAAAGATGCCGTTTGCACTGTGCAAACGACCGCTTCTGCCTCCTAATTGGTAAAACTTTGTTGGAACTCTGCGTTACGTTTATGTAATTAATATGTGGCGGACCTGATCCAGTGGCAAGAAACATAGCATTCTGCTTCCGGGAAGTATCAAAAAATGTAGCAGAATGCCTCTCTCTTCAACTGAAAAACTCCGTTTTGAAGGGCTTCTTCACAAAAACGGCGGGTGCGTTTTTGAAATCGGAGTCTTCTCACTTGGAGAGGGAGGCATTTTGCCACATTTTTTGATGCTTCCGGGATGCAAAATGGTATATTTTTGGCCACTGGATCAGGTCCGCCACTGTAGGACTTTCGCATATCTCTTCAGTTTTACTGTTAGAACGGACGTGATGGACTCCTTTTTTCCGATATTAATGCGACAGACATTCTGTTGGGTTGTAGAAAAAGATTGATTTGTTTTCGAATCTTTTGACATGACGTTCCCGAGAGAAACATAAGAATATTATGGTCACTTTAATAGACATGCACTGTGAGAAAACAAAAGTTCATTTTGCACTGTGCATGTCGCCGAAATAACTCCAGCGGCTTTACGGACCGAAAAGACAGTGCCTTACTTTTTTCAGGTCTTTCCCGAGCCCCTGAAATTCAATCCCGACCGATTTATCGACCAGAATGGGAAGCTGCGACAAGTGGAAGAGCTGATTCCATTCTCGCTGGGCAAACGGATCTGCTTGGGCGAGGGAATGGCCCGAATGGAGCTGTTCATCTTCACCGCCAACCTCTTCAATCAGTACAAGTTTTCGGCCGGAAAAGTCCCGCCAAGCCTGAAGAAAGTCAATGGCGCTTCCACAATGATCGAGCCTTTCAATTGTAAAGTCTCTTTAAGGCGACAGTAAAAATTTTTTCGTAAATTCTTGTCTTCATCTTTTTTCGGATATTTTGCGGTTTCGGTATGCTAAAATAAACAATTTTCCACGTCGTATCTCGGAACCAGGGCTTTTTCGCATTTTCACAATGTGCATGGACATTTGTCGCGTTCCGCAACGTGCGCAAAAACCCATATTTTGCACCGTGCATTTCACTTTTTTTTGATGATTGCACTGTGCGAAACGAAGAAATGCACTGTGCGTTGGCGACAAGCGTGCGAAAAGTCTCAAAATGCCCTGTGCAAAGCAAACCGCACTGTGCGTCCCTGTCGCGGTCCGCACCGTGCACAAAAACCCCCTATTTTGCACCGTGCAAACGGCTTTTTTGAGGTTTGCACTGTGCGAAAAAAAGAAAACACAGTGCACTGTGCGTTGGCGACAAGCGTGGGAAAAAGTTCAAAATGCGCAGTGAGCTCTTTTCGCGATCCGCACCGTGCACAAAAAACCCCTATTTTGCACCGTGCATTTCACTTTTTTTTTATTTTTTGCACAGTGCATTTGAAATATCGCTGCGACGGGAAGTTTGCACTGTGCGAAAAGAAAATAAAATGCACTGTGCGTTCCTGTCGCGATCCGCACCGTGCACAAAAAACCCCCTATTTTGCACCATGCATTTCACTTTTTTTTTATTTTTTGCACAGTGCATTTGAAATATCGCTGCGACGGGAAGTTTGCACTGTGCGAAAAGAAAATAAAGTGCACTGTGCGTTGGCGACAAGCGTGGGAAAAAGTTCAAAATGCACTGTGCGGTCCTGTTGTTGCAAAAAACCCCTATTTTGCACCGTGCATTTCACTTTTTTTTTATTTTTTGCACAGTGCATTTGAAATATCGCTGCGACGGGAAGTTTGCACTGTGCGAAAAGAAAATAAAATGCACTGTGCGTGGGCGACAAGCGTGGGAAAAAGTTCAAAATGCGCAGTGAGCTCTTTTCGCGATCCGCACCGTGCACAAAAAACCCCTATTTTGCACCGTGCATTTCACTTTTTTTTTAGTTTTTGCACCGTGCATTTGAAATATCGCTGCGACGAGAAGATTGCACTGTGCGGGAAAAAAGAAAATGCACTGTGCGTTGGCGACAAGCATGGGAAAAAGTTCAAAATGCACTGTGCGAAAGCGAAAAAATGTCTATGCACTTTATGAATATATTAAAACTACTTAGAATTGCGAAAAAATAGAAAAATTTCTAAAATTAGAGAAATTTCTGTATTTTGTAATTTGTATCTGCTAATAAAGAGGAGATACAGTTTGTTTCTTCCTTGGAGCGCGAAAGAAAAAACGCACGTTTTTATCAATCGCCGTTCATCAATCATTTCATCGCAATTTGTTTTGCCCCTTTTCCTTTCCCAAAATAGTTTATGACCTGGGAACTATTAAATAGATGAAAATAGATTCCAAATTAGGCCATATCAGTCTGTCGGGAAAATAATGGGCACAAGTCGCTGCGCCGATCGCAAAGTGAAAAGCAATTTGATTTTTTCGCTACACAATTCATTTTCTCGTCGACGATGCGATTTTCGATGCGACAAAGTGCTCATTATTTTCCCGACAGACTGATAAAATTCATGGTTCACATCGACCATTCACAGTGCAAAATTAATTGTTTTGAAAAGGGGAATCAATGTTTTTTTCGCGCGATGAAACTGCACGGTGCGTTTTCCATTCGCACCGTGCTGATTGTTTGTCGCAAAGCCGCTTTGTGATTTTGCGCAGCACCATGCAAAAAAAAGGTTTTTTGGCCCGCTTAGTAAGTGAAAGACGACAATTTATCAGTATGTCGGGAAAATAATGAGCATCTTTTTGCATCGAAAATCACATCGCCGCCGAGAAAATGAATTGTGTTGCGACAAAATCAATTGCTTTTCACTTTGCGACCGGCACGACGAAATTCTGCTCATTATTTTCCCGACAGACTGATAACTTTTCGAAAATTACGAAAATGAAAAACAAATAATTTCGCGATCATTCTCTGTAGTTTGAGACCTCAAAAACCGAAGAGAAAGCATCGCTATCGCACGAAAGACACGTTGACTTTATTTTTCTTTAACCTTTTCTTATCAATATGGTCATTGCAAGCGGCAGAATCCCAAACCCAACGAATTGTTGGGTTTGTGACTTTGTTTTATGTCTTCCCTATAAATCATGGGCTGGAGCGGGATTTTTTGGGAACTTTCTGGCGTCTTGGTAAGCTAGAAATTAATGCCGAATTTATCGATTTATTAAGTCGGTCAATTGTTGCTACGAAAGAATAGCTCACGAGCCGGGCCGAATTGTGAATATCGGTCTGTCGGGAAAATAATGAGCCCTCTGTCGCATCCAAAAACGCATTGCCGCCGAGAAAATGAAAGGTGTTGCGGTAAAATCAAATTTCATTTCACTTCAGTGATGGGATCGGCGACATTGTGCTCATTATTTTCTCGACAGACTGATAAAAAATTTTTTTTGGTTTTTTTGATCGAAAAATCGACCATTTTCTTATCAAAAAAAATATTTTTTCGTTTTTGAATTTCTATATTTTTGCAAAATTTTAATTTTTAAAATTTTTTTGATTTTCATTTTTTTCTTTTTTAAATCCCAAAATAATTTTTTTTAATCAATTTTAATGATTTTTTTATTTTCCTGCTTCTCCCAACAAATAGGAATAAAAATTTTGCCTGCCCAGACTACTAAATGTGCACCTCAAAATATATATTTTTTATTTTATTGCATGCCCAGCTTTATAAAAACACAAATTATTTTGTGGCGCACACCGCTTTAGAACCTATACATATTGCAGAATCTCGTGATAACGGCGTTCCAAAATTTTATCCTCAAAGCCGGCTTTTTTTATGTGTATAAGTGAGCCGACATAAAGCCGTTATATCAGTCTGTCGGGAAAATAATGAGCACAATGTCGTTGTTGCTGAAGCAAAAAACAATATGATTTTTCCGCGACACAATTCATTTTCACGGTGGCGATGCTATTTTCGATGCGACAGAGTGTTCATTATTTTCCCGACAGACTGATATTTTCATTTTTCCGTCGATAATTTTGCCCCGAACTTTCGTTCAACGAATTTCACAATTTCACCTAAGATTTCAGCCAAAAAATCATGATTCTTTTCTTCATTCTCTCCGCGATTACCCTCCTTCTCTTCTACAACTACTACTACAAACGCCGCAATCTCCCCGCCGGCCCAGCGCCCCTCCCATTCGTCGGGAATGTCCTCGAATTGTCCAAGGAGGAGCGTTGGGAGAACAAGTTCATCGAATGGAGCCAGCAATACGGGTCCATTTACACGTACTGGCTGGGCGAGATGCCGGTTGTGGCGGTGTGTGACTACCAGGACATGGTCAAGTACTTTGTCAAGAATGCCGACGCTTTTTCGGACCGGCTTCAGACCAGAAATGTGATGGAGGAAGTGAAGGGCTACACGCTGGGCGTGGTGGTGAACAGTGGCGAGGCTTGGAGGGAATACCGCCGATTCTCGTTGAAAGTGCTCAGAGATTTTGGGCTGGGGAAAAATCAGATGGAGGAGAGAGTAAGATATTGTTGATAAGGAAAGAGCGACGCTTAGAATTGCCTAAAATTTTGCGCGTCCCAGCTCTGCGAGTCGATGACAGTTCGGGTCAACACAAAATCGAACGATACGAGGTGTAGGACAGGTAGAAGAGAGAGAGAAAAAAAGGTAGATACTCAAAAGAAGGTTCTAGGAAGTGTCTACGAGGCCTGGCGAAGCCGTTGGATGCTCGGCGGACCTTGGCGAAGGCTCGGCGGAGATTTGGCAAACACTTGCAAGACGACCACCTTCTCTAATTGTTTCGTTGAAGTCTCTAAATCGAGTCACCTTTCAAGAACCCAAAGTTTTCATACGACTGTTTATTTACGACCAAAAAATAGGTGATTTTTTTATCCGAGGACCCGAAATCGTTGACCCAACTTTCGCTGACCCGAAAAGTCGTAGCGCCCATTATCATACACGGTCTTACAAAAAACGTGAAGGAAAGTGGAAGGCTATAACTTCCGGCGGAGGCGGCGCAGAGACTTCGTATTTGAAATATGTATTTTTAAAAGACATTAGTTTTTGTCTACGAAATAACAAGCTCTTAAAAGTGCACACCGAGGTCGCTACGACCTTCTGAAGTAGAGGCATCTCTACCCCGAAAACCAGGGGCCTGTCCCACTAACAAATCGTAGGGCGAATCACGAATTGGAAGCGCGAAAAATCATGCGAAAGTGAGAGAGTCGAGAGAAAAAGCGGGCTCTCTCGGAATTCCCGCGCACGGCAACCCAAAATAGAACAAAAATGTCTCCCGCCCACTTTTGAATTTCGTCCAAACGAAGTGTCAAAATTCACAAAAGAAATAAAATAATTCCGAGAAAAATATTTTTCGGTCGGAAAACCACACGAAAAATTCATTTTTGACATTTCGTTTGAATTCAACCGATACTAGGCGGGCGAAGTGCCGAAACGAGGCGGGAGACTCCCTGGGTTGCCGTGCCGCGCTACGGATTTTTTGTGCTAAAAACCGATTTTTTTTTACTTTTTTTGCCATAACTTCTTTCAAAGACGTTCGCTTTACATGATTTTAAAAATCATGAACAGAAGAGACCAACAGCTTCCAGAAAATGTAAATTTTGTTTGCTTTAACGCAGATTAAGGCTTCCCGCCAGGACGAATTACAATTTCCTCCTCAAGAATCACGATTCCAAAATGTCGTATTTTCTAGTAAAATTTATCCTTAATCTACTCATCATAACCCCCAACGTTCATATTGTCATTTATCAGCCCAAACTGCCCCTCCCAAGCCCAAACTGCCCCTTCCAAGCCCAATATTGACTTCCTCTTGCCATAATTTGTTTGGATCGCAAAAAAATTTAAGTTTGAAATTTTTTTTTAAAAAGTACTCCATTCGTCATTCAGAGGGACTGGGTCGGTTTTATCAGCCCAAATTAGCCCTGCCAAGCCCAATTTGGATCCCCCATTGCCATAATTTGTTTGATTGCACACGGGGACACTCCTGGAACGTCCCATTGAGTAATTAATCGCGCTTGGCGTTGTTATATGAAAACGTTTGTTATCCCAAATGAATTTTTTGTTTTTGTTACGAAGATAAAACTTACAAGGGAAGTACTTGAAGTGTGACGCTCAGATTTTGATGAAACTTGGCACAAATTTAGAATAATTTTTTCTAAGATATATGCGGGAATCCTAGCTCGCGCTTTGCAGAAACAACCGAGATTTTTAGATCGAAAGTCGGCGAAAATTTGGGACTTTTTGCCGAATTTCGGCACGAAAAGTTTCATGCCTATTTCAACCGTAAAGAATAATGTTTCTACAAAAAATCAAATTTTTCCGCACGAAACTGCCAAAGTTATGGCCAAAAAGCGGTTTTCTCTCTGACCGCTCTCCACGTTGAGCGTGCTCTCTCGGCGGCAAAAATCGTTCAATATCTCGGCGGCGCCCGCAAAGCGCGAGCTAAAACTTTCAGGAATTGATATTTAGTCCATACCCGATGCGTGTGCAAAATTTAAAGAAAATCTGAGCGTCACACTTGAAGTACTTCCCCTGTTAGATAAAAAAACGTAAATTTTTTTGATTCAAACAAATTGTGGCAAGGGGAGATCAAAATTGGGCTTGGCAGGGCTAATTTGGGCTTATAAAACCGACCCAGTCCCTCTGAATGACGAATGGAGTACTTTTTTTTTAAAATTTCAAACTTAAATTTTTTACGATCCAAACAAATTATGGCAAGAAGAGGTCAAAATTGGGCTTGGAAGGGGCAGTTTGGGCTTGGGAGGGGCAGTTTGGGCTGATAAATGACAATATGAACGTTGGGGGTTATGATGAGTAGATTAAGGATAAATTTTACTTGAAAATACGACATTTTGGAATCGTGATTCTTGAGGAGGAAATTGTAATTCGTCCTGGCGGGAAGCCTTAATCTGCGTTAAAGCAAACAAAATTTACATTTTCTGGAAGCTGTTGGTCTCTTCTGTTCATGATTTTTAAAATCATGTAAATCGAACGTCTTTGAAAGAAGTTATGGCAAAAAAAGTAAAAAAAAATCGGTATTTAGCACAAAAAAACCGTAGCGCGGGAATTCCGAGAGAGCCCGCTTTTTCTCTCGACTCTCTCACTTTCGCATGATTTTTCGCGCTTCCAATTCGTGATTCGCGCTACGATTTGTTAGTGGGACAGGCCCCAGGCTTTTTCGGTTGAAAATGATCGGGAAATTTCGGACTTTTTCGGTTGAAAATCACCTGGAAATGTCGGATTTTTTGGGGGTTTCACATATGAATTGCTGAAATTTTTAGCTCGCGCTTTTCAGGCGCAGCCGAGATATTCGGCGATTGAAGAGAGAGAGTACGTAAAATGCAGAGACCGGTCAGAGAGAAAACCGATTTTTCTGCCATATCTTTGCCAGTTTTGTGCGAAAAAAAAATTATTTTTTGTGGAAACATTACCCTCTACGGTAGAAACAGATATAACATTTTCCATGCCATAAAAGGTATGACATTTCTTGTAAACTAAAATAATTTATGGCACATCAGACCAAATTTTCAAAACTTTGAACCCAACTAAACAATTTTTTCAACCCAAATGTTTTTTTTCAATCCAAAGGCTTTCTTTTTTGGCTGCCCCCAGATATTTTCGCGTCAGGACCCATGAAAAGAGTCCATTTTTTTGGTGCACCCTATTTATAGGGAAAGTGCGCAAGCAGCGACCCACAAAATTCCATGAAATTTTTTCAACCCAATTCCACAATTTCTTCAATCCAAAAACCTTCTTGTAGATCCTCGACGAGCTGTACTTGATCCTCGAAAAAGTGAACAATGAACTGGACGCCGACGAAATTGACTTTTTCAAGTACTCAGACATTGCAATTGGCTCCATCATCAATAACATTGTGGCCGGCTACCGCTTCACCGGCGGGCATGAGCACGAGTTTGACCGACTGAAGAACTTGGCCACCCAACTCATACAGGATATTATGACGTCGACGGCCAATTTGGCGCTGAACAACCCGTTCCTGATGCAGGTCCCACTCCTGAACTCGAAGGCCAAACGCGCCGTGGAGTGTATGAGGGAGATTTTAGAGTTCTTGGACCGGCAAATTCAGAAACATGTTGCCGAAAACGATTATACGCAGGATCTGGAGCCCCATGACTACATTGACGCCTATTTGTTGGAACGCCAGAGGCATATTCAAAAGGTTGGTGGGGAGCTTGGATTAGGGGAATCAAGGGCTAAACGGCTATGGTGCTATGTTCTTTCGGGCCTACGAAGGACTTTGAGCTGCCTCAATTTGTTATTGTAGGCTAGGAGAAGGCTTACTTACAAGTTTATTACCTATATGCAGTATTTTACGTGGTATTTTTTATGTTAAAATACCGGGGGATCAAGAAAACCAAGCTTAGCAATAGCTAGGTTTAGAAAAAGTCTTCGTAATAAGACGAGAAGCTAGTCTTCGACAAGCTTCCGCCAAGCCTCCGCCGAGCATGTAACGGCTTTTCCAGGCATCGTAGACACATGCGTTTCCAAGACAGTCTTTTGACAATAATCCTTTAGGAAGGAACGGAGGGAAAGTACAACTTACCGGAATTGCGCAACATCTGCATGGACTTGTGGGTGGCGGGGCAAGAGACAACCTCCTCGACGCTGACCTGGATCATCGCCTATTTGATCAGGTATCCGGAGGTTCAGGAGAAGATGCAAAAGGAGCTGGATGCCGTGATTGGAAGCACTCGAATCATACGGAATGCGGACAGACCCGATTTGCCCTACACCAATGCTGTTATTATGGTGAGTTCAGGCGTTATAGAGCCAGTTTACAGTGACTAGAAGAGATTGGAGGCGAATATTTTAACAGTCGGATTTGATCAAACTTACTGGCCAAATTTGGCCAAGGTTTGGTTTAATCAGACCGGCCAACTCTCAACCTCTTCAAAGTGACGATGAAATCTCTGCTTTCGAGATAATACCATCAAATTTCAGGAAAGTCAACGCCACTGCAACTTGCTCGCCCAAAACCTCCCCCGATGCTTGTCAGTGGACGTCGAAGTCGACGGGCGCCACTTCCAAAAAGGCACAGTAATCCTGCCACAAATCTCGGTCCTCCTACAGAACCCAAAAATCTTCCCCGAGCCGCGGAAATTCAATCCCGACCGATTTATCGACCAAAACGGGAAGCTGAAACAAGTGGAAGAGCTGATTCCGTTCTCAATTGGCAAGAGGATCTGCTTGGGTGAGGGAATGGCCCGAATGGAGCTGTTCATCTTCACCGCCAACCTCTTCAATCAGTACAAGTTTTCGGCCGGAAAAGTCCCGCCAAGCCTGAGGAAAGTGAGTGGCGCTGCAACCATGTGCGAGGATTACAAGTGCAAAGTGTCTTTGCGTCGGTAGAAAATGAAAAGCTAGTCGATGTCAAGCTTTGATTTGTACATATTTACTGTTGATGTGGAAAGCAATAAATTTTATTTAAAATCGTGAAATCCTTCGAGGCCAAAAGTCGTTGGATTTTCAACCTAATTTCATCCAGTTCCCAGGTCATAGACCTTTCTGGGGAAGTGGTGTGGAGTCTCAAAAGTCTCCACAATTCCCACGGAAATTAGTATAACTCAAGTGATATAAAAGGAACGTCTCGTCACAAATTATCATGTAATATCTCATTCTTTTCCCATGCTCCGCGTCGAATAAACTCTCTCTCTCTCTGTTGGCCGGTCGATTCTCTTCTATCAACTCCCCGATCTCCTCTTTTCCGTGCCTGTCCAGTATATAAAGGTGGTCATACAGTGCGGGTCATAATTATAACCGCACCTTTAAAATGAGTGTAACTTTTGTTTGAAAACCAAATTATGGCTAAAGGTAGGCTTTTGGCTTTATTGTAATATAAATTTCGAACCAGAAACATCGAGTTTCACCAAATTTTTATGTTGTACTTGCTTCACGTATTTGGCCCCTCGGTCAAGCTGCTATTCCTTAAAATTAGTCCTATTTTCATGGTATAATTAACCTAGTGGCCAGTCCTGAAACTGTCCATTTTTGGCGAGTTTGCACAAAAAATAGGAAAATCGACTTACACTATCCATGGTACAACAAACATCACAAGATTCCAAAATTTGGTGCTTTATCCGAGCAGAAAACGGGAAATCTAGACCTCAAAGCGAACGGGGCAGCCTGCTCTTGGTAAAAATTCCCTTTTTGGACAAATTCCATCTTGTCTTCATTCATAAAATATACCTTGAACATTGGCGAAAAACAAAAAAAAATTCTCGAGCAGGAATATAAAATGGGTCAACTGTTCCCCCAAAAAAGCCAAGTCTGCACCGAATTCCGGAATTTGGTACACACTTAAAATTTTGGAATTGGGTGCCGTGTTAAAAATCGGAGTCTTAAGTCGACGACAATTTTTCGATTTGGGCATCGACTTTTTTTTGTGCACCGAAAATCGCGATTTGGGAAAAAATTTTTTTTGAATTCTTATATGACCACCTTTATATGTAGAAAGAGAAGAGTCAAAACAAATTGATTGATCAACGACGATTGATAAAAACGTGTGCTTTTTTGTTTCGCACTCCAAAGAGGAAGAAACAAACGTATTTCCTTCTTATTGGTAGATACAAATTACAAAATACAGAAAGTTCTCTAATTTTAGAAATTTTTCTGTTTTTTCACAATTCAAAATAGTATTTGTATATTCATAAAGTGCAGAGACAATTTTCGCCTTCGCACAGAGCGTTTTGAAACTTTTCCCAGGCTTGTCGCCAACGCACACTTTCTGTTTTTTTGCACCATGCAGGTTGGAGCCAAGTCTTTTCCTGATGTGTCAAGTTTTTCTCTGCGAGAAAAAAATTGTTTTTTTGCGAAATTTTACCGCCTGTTTCTACATGAAGATGGCAAGAATACTAGTCCGTTCGTAAAGTCGCTGGAATGTTTTCGGCGACATGCACTCCGCGAAAACGAAAGTTCACTTTGCACTGTGCAATTTTTGGGGTTTTGCACAGTGCAATAGGTTTTTTGGGCTGTCGCCCGCACCCTGAGTTTTCTTGCACTGTGCACGTCGCCGAAATCATTCCAGCGACTTTACGAACGGACTAGTATGTAAGGTTGTCGAAATTCATGAATTGCGGAACCACTATAGAGTGAGGGACCGGATCCGGTGGCAAAAACCGTCTCCAAACCCTTCCCTTCTCTAAACCTTGAAGGAAAGGGCGCGCTTTTCAAAACGGAGTTTTTTAGCTTAGAGAAGGGAAGGGTTTGGAGACGTTTTGGTCCCTTCCGGGATGCAAAGTGGGACGTTTTTTGCCACTGGATCCGGTCCCTCACTGTACTTGCTGAGCCGACCGCGTCGCTGAAATGAAAATCAATTTGATTTTGCCGCGACACAATTTATTTTCTGGGCGGCGATGCGATTTCCGATGCGAAAAATTGCTCATTATTTTCCCGACAGACTGATAACTTTTCGAAAATTACGAAAATAAAAAACAAATAATTTCCCAATCATTCTCTGTAGTTTGAAACCTCAAAAACCGAAGAGAAAAGCATCGCTATCTCGCGAAAGACACGTTAACTTTATTTTTCTTTAACCTTTTCTTATCAATATGGTCATTGCAAGCGGCAGAAATCGGATGAATTGTGGGTTTGTGCCCTTGTGTAATATTTTCCCTATAAAAGGCGGCGAACAAGGGCTGGAGAGGGATTTTTTGGGAACTTTCTGGCGTCTAGGTAAGCTGGAAATTACTGCGGAATTTGTTGACAGGGTTAATTGTTGCTATGAAAAACTATTTTTGAGATTTTTTTAGTTTGTCGGGAAAATAATGAGCACTCTGTCGCAGCGAAAATCGCATCGCCGCAGAGAAAATGAAGGGTGTCGCGGCAAAATCAAATTTCATTTCACTTTAGCGACGCGATTGGCGCAGCGACAAAGTGCTCATTATTTTCCCGACAGACTGACAAATTATTTTTGTTTTTTTTTGTCGAAAATTTTCACTTAAAAAAAATAATATTTTTGCATTTTTTGCAATTTCTAAATTTTCAGGTAAAAAAGTATTTTTTTTTTTTATTTTTTTGGTTTTTAAATTCTAAAATTAGAAAAAATATTTTCAATTTTATTTAGTGGTGGCAAAAGGGGCCAGCAAAAATGCTCGTTTTAAAGTTTTGTATATGAGCCAGGACCAAAAGTTTGGCAATTCCCGCCCAACCGGGCTTGTTATTTTTATCAGGTATACGTAATTTTTATCATTCTTTGGTTTTTTTATTTTTCCTTCTCTTAAAAAATTTTTGATTGTTCTTGCAGTCTAGCATTAGGCCACAGCATTGGCGTTACTGTTACTGTATGCATGACTGTTAACCTAAAAAGGCCAAAACTTTTAATTCTTAGGCTACCCGAAAAAAGCTTCGTGGAATTGTTTTTTTGTCCCAGTGCTTTTGGCACATCCTCTATGATATTAGGGTGGCCCATAAGTCTTGTGTATTTTTGGGTTTGAGATTAAAGTTTTGTTTCGCAGGCCTAAATGAATGCACCCCTTAAAATGTTTGTCACTGCTGAAACCACCATCTCTTACACCTATAAGCAGCATAAAAATTTTAACTAATAACATGCCCTCCGGGAAAATACTTGAAATTCTTCAAAAACGTGTGTCTAACATGTCTCGTAATGCGTTACAAAGCTTACAGGAATTCGTACAAGTTAACGACCCCAAAATACACAAGACTTATGGGCCACCCTAATACATAAGTATTTTATGTCCAGCAAATTATTTTGTTGCGCACACGTTTCCCGTCGATAATTCAAGTCAACCTGCATTCATTCAATTTCACCTTAAATTCCAGCCAGAAAAATTATGATTCTTTTCTTTATTCTCGCCGCAATTACCCTCCTTCTCTTCTACAACTACTACTACAAACGCCGCAATCTCCCGGCCGGCCCCGCTCCGCTCCCATTCGTGGGGAATGTCCTCGAACTCTCCAAAGAGGAGCGTTGGGAGAACAAGTTCATCGAATGGAGCCAGCAATACGGCTCCATTTACACGTACTGGCTGGGCGAGATGCCGGTTGTGGCCGTGTGTGACTACCAGGACATGGTCAAGTACTTTGTCAAGAATTCCGAGGTCTTTTCGGATCGGCTTGAGACCAGAAATGTGATGGAGGAAGTGAAGGGCTACACGCTGGGCGTGGTGGTGAACAGTGGCGAGGATTGGAGGGAATACCGCAGGTTCTCGTTGAAAGTTCTCAGAGATTTTGGGCTGGGGAAGAATCAGATGGAAGAGAGAGTAAGATATTATTTATAAGGATAAGTGCAACACTCAGATTTCCGTGAAATTTTGCACACACGCCAAGCATAGCCCAGATATAAATTCCTGAAATTTTTAGCTCGCGCTTTTCAGGCGCAGCCGAGATATTGAATGATCTTTGCCGCCGAGAGAGTACGTGAAATGCAGAGACCGGTCAGAGAGAAAACCGCTTTTTTCTTTGCCTGTTTTGTGCGGAAAAATTGATTTTTTGTGGAAACATTGCCCTCTATGGTAGAAATAGACAAGAAACTTTCAATGCCAAAAAAGGTATGACATTTGCCAACAATTTCTCTGTTTCTTTTTGCAAAGCACGCGCTAAAATTTTTATAAAATGATTAATGGCACATCAGATCAATTTTTCAAAACGTTGAGCCAATTTCACAAATTTTTTTCAATCCAAAAACCTTCTTGTAGATCCTTGACGAGCTGTACTTGATCCTCGAAAAAGTGAACAATGAATTGGACGCCGAAGAGATTGACTTCTTCAAGTACTCGGACATTGCGATCGGCTCCATCATTAACAACATTGTGGCCGGCTACCGCTTCACCGGCGGGCATGAGCACGAGTTCGACCGGCTGAAGAACTTGGCCACCCAACTCATGCAGGATATCATGACGCCGACGGCTAATCTGGCGTTGAACAACCCGTCCTTGATGCAGGTCCCGGTCCTCAATTGGAGGGCCAAGCGGGCCGTGGAGTGTATGAGGGAGATTTTGGTGTTCTTGGACCGGCAAATTCAGAAACATGTCGCCGAAAACGATTACACGCAGGACCTGGAGCCCCATGACTATATTGACGCGTATTTGTTGGAACGCCAGAGGCATATTCAAAAGGTTGGTGGGGAGTTTTGACGAAATAGAGGTCTTTCAACTACTAGTACATGCCGTTCCATAAAGTACATAGACTTTTTTTTGTGCATTTTGCTTCATTTTTCACAGTGCCAAGGGCATTGCGGCGAAGTCTGAGCGCTCGGCGTGGTCTAGAAATGGCTTACGAGCTGGCCCGAATGAGGAGTATCACTTTGTCGGGAAAATAATGAGCACTCTGTCGCATCGAAAATCGCATCGCCACCGAGGCAAAAATTAATTGTGTCGCGGCAAAATCAAATTGTTTTTCACTTCAGCGACGCGATCGGCGCAGCCACAGAGTGCTCATTATTTTCCCGACAGACTGATACTATTCAAATTTTTAGCCCCTTGTGATAGAATACTGACAGTAATCCTTGTTCTAGGAAGGAACGGAGGGAAAGTACAACTTCCCGGAATTGCGCAACATCTGCATGGACTTGTGGGTGGCGGGGCAAGAGACAACCTCCTCGACGCTGACCTGGATCATCGCTTATTTGATCAGATATCCGGAGGTTCAGGAGAAGATGCAACAGGAGCTGGATGCCGTGATTGGAAGCACTCGGATCATACGGAATGCAGACAGACCCGATTTGCCCTACACCAATGCTGTTATTATGGTGAGTTCAGGTCGTAGAGAGCCAGTTTACAGTGGATAGAGGGATTTGAGGCCAAGACTTGGTAAGTTAGTTTTGACCAAACTTAATGGCCAAATTCGGCCAAGGCTTGGTTTAATCAGACCGGCCAACGGCGGGCCCAGACTTGCGGGCAACCACTTTGCGGGCAGCTTGAAAACCACGGATATTCTGCGGACATGTTTTGAAATCAGCCAAAACTTGCTTACAACTGGAAATTCAAACGATGAGCTTGACGATTAGATGTTGCGGTTTAAGTTTCCAGGTATACAAGTGGCTTGAATAGTCATCATAAGCTTATCCAGGCATTTTGAAAACAAACTCCCATAACTTTGAAAGCAGTGGATGAATTTAATAGATTTGTGTACTTATCAGTATCAGAGAGTTGTCAATGTAAAATTCGTACTACGTAGATTACGGGATGGAAATCGTACTTACAATCAAAAAATGTCGGCTGCCCGCAAAGTGGTTGCCCGCAAGTGTCGCGACGCCCGGCCAACTTTCACCCTCTTCAAAGTGGCGATGCGATCTTCGTTTGCACGATAATACCATCAAATTTCAGGAAAGTCAACGCCACTGCAACTTGGTCGCCCAAAACATCCCCCGATGCTTGTCGGAGGACGTCGAAATTGACGGGCGTCACTTCCAAAAGGGCACAGTAATCCTGCCACAAATCTCGGTCCTCCTACAGAACCCGAAAATCTTCCCAGAGCCACGGAAATTCAATCCCGACCGATTTATCGACCAAAACGGGAAGCTGAAGCAAGTGGAAGAGCTGATTCCATTCTCGCTGGGCAAGAGAATCTGCTTGGGCGAGGGAATGGCCCGAATGGAGCTGTTCATCTTCACCGCCAACCTGTTCAATCAGTACAAGTTTTCGGCCGGGAAAGTCCCGCCAAGCCTGAAGAAAGTGAGCGGCGCTGCAACGATGTGCGAGGATTACAAGTGCAAAGTGTCTTTGCGTCGATAGAAAATGCATATATCGTCGATATCAAGCCCTGATTTGTAGATATTTATTATTGATTTGGAAGCAATAAAGTTTATTTAAAATCACCAAATACCTTGCGGCAAAAAGGTATTGGGATTTAAAAATAATTTCATCCAGTTCCCAGGTCAGTCCTTTCAGGGAATGAGAGTCAAAACAAATTGCGATGAAATGATTGATGAACGACGATTGATAAAAACATGTGCTTTTTTCTTGCGCGCTCTGAAAAGGAAGAAACAAACGTATTTCCTTCTTATTGGTAGATACAAATTACAAAGTACAAAAAATTTCTCTAATATTAGAAATTTTTCGATTTTTTTCCCAATTCAGAGTGGTTTTAGTACCTTCATAAAGTGCATGGACATTTTTTCGCTTTCGCACAGTGCGTTTTGAACCTTTTCCCAGACTTGTCGCCAACGAACCGTGCATTTTGTTTTTCGCACAGTGCAAACCTGAAAAAAAGCCATTTGCACTGTGCAAATTCCAGACGCACGGTGCAGGGGTTTTCATGTACGATGCACTGCAGGTTTGGCGTCAAGTCTTTTCCTGATGTGCCAAGTTTCTCTCTGCGAGAAAAAAAATAGCTTTTTGCGACATTGTGCAGCCTGTTTCTGCGCGAAGATGGCCAGAATATTGGACAAGTAAGCCATAATCAGCAAGAGGAGGTGTTCTTCTTTCATTTGACACCAAATAATATAAGTGCGCTTAGTGGTGCATGGCACTATAAATGTCCATTGTAAGGCGGAACGACCGAGCTTCGCGGGTTTTCCCACAAGAAACTATCTTCATTCAAATTTTTATTGTACTTTTCTACGTGGAATTTCCCTATAAAGGCCTCTTTTCCACTGAACAAATCTAAAAAAAAAAATACAAAAATCGCCTCATACCGGCGGGCTGTTTAGCCGGGCTTAGCGATCTGGGACTGACCTGAGCTTAGCGATTAGGGTAAGCTTAGCGATCTTGACGTCTACAACAATGTGCGTTCTGAACGCTACCTTTCTACTAGGCTCAGTCTGACGCGTAGCGTTTTTCTGCCGCGGTCGGAGGCCGTCGGCAAAGCTTTGGCGAGCTTTACATCACATTTGGACCTGGAATGTTGCCCAAACCGCGCGCGAAGCAGCGAAATCCGGTGCAGGGCTGCCCGAGAGACGTGAGCAGCCGCAGGCTGCGAAGTCTCGAGCCCTAGTTCGTTAAAATAAATGTTTTAATTGGTAAAAACTTGGTCAAACTTGAAAAACTTATGGCGCTTTTTTCGTATTTACAGCGAAAATGACACTACTGCTTAAGCAAAATTGTAAAATTCAGAAAAAATTGCTATGATTTTTATACCTCGTAATGAATGCAGTATTTATATATGCCGTCCGGCCCCCGGTCGGCCCCCGGCCCGGGTTGCAGCCATGCTTAGTGCCAACTCGATGGCATCACGATGGAATTTATGGAGGGAGAGAGATGTCTCCCCGTGTCAATTGTTTTCCCCAGCTTCTTTTTTCACCGATTTTCGAGAATGTTCGATGGAGAGATCCCGAAGCGGAGAGCATGAATCACGACACCGTAACGTTCTCTGAGGTTTTATCCCATCTTGATTTGAGTGTTGTAGTAGTTGTAGTCGTGCTGCAGTGAGTGTAGGTTGTTGTTGAGTGTTGTTGTAGTGTTGTGTTTTGTTATTGTATTGCTATTTTAATTTTATTGTATTTGTCACTTCTTGATAAACTTATCTGTTCGAATTGAGTATCGTTTATTATCAACGGTATACAGAAACGGCGCTTGTGTTCCGTCAGAGCCTTTTGTTATTTACTGTCTGGGCCGATAGATCAATACTCCCTAAGGAAACCAATTCTCAATTGAGAAGAGATGTGCAAAATCTCGGAAAAGAATCAAAAAAAAATTAATAAAATCAACTAACCCCTCCCCACATAGAGAACGCTGCTCAACCCACTGCCCTATCGCAAGACGTAAAGGATAGAAGGGCCCAGGAATTGAAAGAAAAATGTACCTTTCCCTAATCATCAAAAATCTAACAAGGAAAGTACTTCTATGGGGTATGGAATTACAGGTCGAGATATATATCAAAAAATTCGCAAAAAATTACTGATTCAGAATATATAAAAATTAGCTGCCTAATTTTGGTCTATCAACGAGTTTTATCAATAAATGTATTTCTCGAGGAAAAAAATCTGCGGCAACAAAAGCGAGCTCGGTCTCTTCCTTCGGAAGAGAGCGGTGTGGGTTAGAGGGCTAGACTGATAATCCGATGGGAAAGGCTGCCCATCTGGGTTCGAGCCCTTTTACCACAGAACCCGTTTTTTTCCATTGGAACTACTATTAAGGTGTAGTTGTAATCCAAGTTGATATTTTAAGGCTTGTCAAGGCCTCAGAATTTATTTCTGCACAAAAAAAATTTTTTTATTGGTAAAAACACGGTCAAAAAGATACACTGCTCCACGAAATGATAGACGCACTCAATTTTTAGCGATTATCTTTCTTATACTGAATGATATCCAAAAATGTTCAACAGATGAAATGTGGCAAATTAAACGAGAATTCATGTCCCGTAGCGATTTTGGGACAAAATTTTGCCTTGACTGAGATATGACATTTTTAGACTTTTTTGGGGTCCACAAAATGATAGACGCAATTAAGTAATTTTTTGTTTATTTAAAAGAATTTTGAGTCAACCTGCTCTTATTACACTTCCTCGTGTTCTCTGTAGTATTAGAAAGGTAATTACATTTATATCCGCCGTACTTCATAGACGCAGTGGCCTTATGAGCCATTTCCGACCTTGTACATGAGGTAAATATTCGGTTTGAAAAAAAAAATTGATTAACAATTTGGCTTTCGCCAAAAATCCATCTTAAACCATCATAGATTACTAGTAGCAAATATAAGACATAAAATAAACCAATACCGATTCGCTTGAAGTCATTTAATCGACCATTAAGTTACCGTATACCTTCTACAGTAACCTTCAAAGGCTCTAAAAGTACAGAAGATTACTATCGATGGCAATTTTTTGCTCAGAAAATCAAACTCAGCATGTTAACAAACCTAAAACCGCAACTTATTGCCTGCTTAAATGTCATAATGATTGATAGATGATTGATTAAAAATAAACGTGTAAAAACAAGCCTATTTTTGGTGACTTTTTTTTGTCGAACGACGTTACCGACCAAATTTATTCTGTAACGGCTGATGATTAAAACATTACGTTTTCAGGCATGCTCAGTTCGAATTTGCAAATTAAATTTTGTCATTCTCTTTATTCGCCTTGGTATTTCGGGGTTCTAAAAGTATTAAGGCAGCTACATGTTGAAGATGATATGCCAAGAAAATGCTCGGGATCCTTGAGCAAGCCGTTTTTTTTATCAGTGAGATCTACACGTATAATGTGATAGTATTAGCTAGTTTTTCGCCCATGAAAACAGCATAACCTACAGTTTTTTTCAAACCGAATATTTACCTCATGTACAAGGTCGGAAATGGCTCATAAGGCCACTGCGTCGATGAAGTACGGCGGATATAAATGTAATTACCTTTCTAATACTACAGAGAACACGAGGAAGTGCAATAAGAGCAGGTTGACTCAAAATTCTTTTAAATAAACAAAAAATTACTTAATTGCGTCTATCATTTTGTGGACCCCAAAAAAGTCGAAAATTGTCATATCTTAGTCAAGACAAAATGTTGTTCCAAAATTGCTACGGGACATGATTTCTCTTTTAATTTGTCACATTTCATCTGTTGAACATTATTCGATATCATTTAGTACAAGGAAGATAACCGCTAAAAACAGGGTGCGTCTATCATTTCGTGGAGCAGTGTACTTGCATGGTGTCGCGAGAAAACTTCTGAGGACAAAAACATGTCATCAGACCAAAATTAGACAGCTAAGTTTTATATATTCTGAACCAGAAAATTTTTGCAAATTTTTTGATATATATATCTCGACCTGTAACTCCATACCCCATAGAAGTGCTTTCCTTGTAAAATAACTTTCGCCCACGTTTCATGAATCAAACCCGATAAACAAACTATATTATCATAAAAAGAAGTATATTGAAACACGTAGGCGTCCACTCTCCCAGACTACATCTTATCAATTTGTAGTGAAATCACGGCCTTAGCTGATTCTGGCCCATTGCAAAGGGCGCTCCCATTTAAAGCCCCCATTGAATGTTAATTAAAAACATAGGAGAATGATAACGGAAGTTTTATCGTTGACCGAAACTATAAAATACCCCACGATTCCCCGGAGAGAGTATATTGAACAGAAAATGCGCTCTATCAGCATTTCTCTATTACTGGTGGCGGCCGCGTTGGCCATTGAGATTCCAATCAGACGGGTTCAACGGAAGGAAAGCGGCTTTTCCTCAGGAATTCCAATTGATCTGGACACTGGTTCAAAAGCATATGTTGGCATAGTGTCGATTGGAAACCCCGCAAAAGACATTAATGTTGCTTTTGACATCAGCACTTCTGCCCTCTGGGTTCCTGATGCTTCATGCTCATGTGCAGCTCAATGTGGCGATGGTATGTATATACATACAATCATCAAATAGCCTTTAGAAAAGCTGTGCCCTCACCTCTGTGCTTCTCACTGCTGCGCCAAGAAACTCAGCGACGAAAAGTCTTCCGGATCATGCCCAAACAAAAACGTCTTTGACCCGGAGCGATCAAGGAGCTACGTGAAGGGTAAGTTCCAAATTCCAAAAGATATTTCCAACCTTGTGGTGTCAGCGTTTCTCAAACAACATCATTTTATTTTAGGAACCGGCTCATCCAACTTGACGTTCTTGGGCTCCACGATTCAAGCCGCTCTTGGGTATGACACCCTCCGTCTTGGAACTCACTATCGTCCTGGCCTTACCGCCGACAATGTTCAATTTGGCGTTGTCAAGGAATTCAACGAGGCCTACCAAGACGTTAACTACGACGGAGTCTTTGGTCTTAGCTTGGCCTCCAAGGATGGAGTCCCCTCCCCCATCAAGCAGCTGGCTGTTCATGGAGTGATCCCATCTCCTTTGCTATCCGTCTATTTGTTGCCTCAAACTCCCGACAATGTTGTTGACGGAGTTCTTACTGTCGGACAGTTGGACAGACAGCGTTGTCTTCCAGTCACCCGATTCGTTAACGTCGAGAAGGAAGAAGGATGGGTTTTCAGTGCCACCACCTTCAACCTGAGCTATACTGGCTATGGAGCTTACAACGGATCGTGGCGGGTAAGATGACAGCATGTTTCAAGGATCTCAATCTTTACTTTCACTGCAGTTTTAATGACTGGATTTTCAGGGGGTCTTCGACTTCGGAAGTGAGTACATCCATGTACCAAGAGAGGTGTTTAGCGAGTTGAGACGATCCTTCGGAGATGACAGTGAAGGCCGTTTGATCATCCCTTGCAGAAATAGTTATTCCGTGGTAGTTGACGTTGGCGGTGAAAGCATTTCTATTTCAAGCTCGCTTCTGTCTCCATACGATGAGCACGATTGTGAATTCAAGATCAAGGAAACTAAGGACAAATACGACTTCCGCTTCGGTCTTCCGGTGCTGCAGAAAAAATGTGTTGTCCTCGATTTCAACGGACGGCTGGCGTTGCCCGATAAAAGAGTGTAATTCGAATTGCAATTTGATTAAAAAAATCACAAGCCGCATATTCCAGTTGATATTAGGGTGTCCCATAAGTCTTGCAAATTTTTGGGTTTAACAAGGAAGGTACTTTTATGGGGGCTCCTACTTTTCGACGGGACTTGCTGAGATTCGCCATTTTCAACCGATTGAATTTCTGGAAAAAAATATTCTGAATTGACTTTACTATGCCTTCCCAAAGTTTTTGAAAATTATTTCCGAGCCGAAACCGCTAAAACTTATTGTTAGAAATTTTTTTTGGAATGATTTTCAATTGGCTTTCTCGGACTTGGAAAATTTTGGGCTTTTTTGGTAGAATCGTGGAGTAAAAAGTTCCGTACGCTTTTCCCTAAACTTTGTTTAAAGAAAAATTACGGCCACCAGAGCGGCCGGAAATTTCGGTCGATTTTTGGTGCACCGTGCGAAAAAAGTTGCCCTCAGGGCAATAAGCGGAATTGAGAAAATTGATTTCACGGGGGCTATTGGGCACAGAATAAGCTACCATCGTGCCAATTTTCATATCTCTACATTCAATATTCCGTGTGCACTGTGCTTCCGAAACAAAAATTCGAAATTTCGGCCCTGAGGGCTTGGAATCGAATTTTTTCGGATTTTAATTTCGTCCATCATATTCAGCACGGCAAACTGCAATAGAAACACGTATCGACTTTTAATATACCAACAAGCTGACAAAGCAGTAGTCAAATTACAAAATTTCTGGATTTTGCTTACTTTGACGAAAGTACATTATCTGAAAAACAAGGTCGAAATCGAAAAATCCCGCTTTCAGTTGCACTTCGTATTTGCACTCCCAACAAGTTGCCCAAATTTGGTGGGGTGATCCAAAGTTTTGAACAGTTATCCGGTCGCAAAAAAATTATACCAAGTTTCGCAAATCTTACATTTGACCATAACTAAAAAATTTCCGACTAAAATTTGTCTAAACGTTACATATTCGGAATCTCCATGCCGTTTCGGATACAGTAGTACCTTTTTCGCGGGTACTTTTAGTGCAACAAGTGCCAGTTTTGAAAAAACACCCACTTCCATGACCGAAAACCCCGAAAAAGAGCGCGGCGAAGAGAGAGAGCGGGCAGAGAACCGCTTCCTTCTTCGTTTGGCGGGAGAAAAGAGAGAGAGTGGGAAGGAAGTGGAGGGTGGTCAGAGAAAGGTTTTCTCTTTCGATCCGGGTCAGAGATAGGACGGATAGAGTGCTGAGTGTGAGGAGGGTGGTACGGAAACGGTCATCATGACGCGTCATGACGGGGTTTTCTAGATTTTTTCGAGAAATTTTTGTATTTAAAATTATTTTTTTGGTCCTGGATTCTCGGGATTTGGCCGTTTTAGGGCCAAATTTGACGGGGAATTTGGGAAAAATACTCGCTTATGATACCTTTGAATGCTGAGTCCATTTTTTTAAATTTTTTAGTTGATTTTTGGTTACTGATAGTGTTTTTGATCAACTTTTGGTGGAAGGGAATTTTTTTAGGTAACACGCTTCTACTAGGCTCAATCTAACGCGTAGCGTTTTTCTGCCGCGGCCGGAGGCCGTCGGCAAAGCTTTGGCGAGCGCTTATGTTGTTTTTGGCGTTAAATAAGTCCAAATCGAGCGCAAAGCAGCGAAATCGGGTGCAGGGCTGCCCGAGAGACGTGAGCAGCCGCAGGCTGCGAAGTCTCGAACCCTAGTCACTTGACTTTTGAGCTCTCGTCTTGTTTGGTTACTGGGTTGTCGGGCCTTTCGAAGTGCATGCATTATGGAAGCATTGTAAATTTCTGAGCCGATCGCGTCGCGGAAGCGAAAAGTAGTTTGATCTTGCCGCGACACAACCCATTTTCTCGGCGGCAATGCGATTTTCCATGCGACAGAGTGCTCATTATTTTCCCGACAGACTGATAGTTCAAGTCCTACTCATTTTATTCTCCAAGAAAAGGTTAATTTATCTTCTCAACACCACTTTACAATTATAAGGTTGAATCACTGTCCCAGCGCCGCTGATTCTCTTCAGGGTCGGCGGGACTTTTCCGGGCAAGAACTTGTACTGGTTGAAGAGGTTGGCGGTGAAGAGGAACAGCTCCATTCGCGCCAATCCCTCACCCAAACAGATCCTCTTGCCAATGGAGAACGGAATCAGCTCGTCCACTTGTCGCAGCTTCCCGTTTTCGTCGATAAATCGGTCGGGATTGAATCTCTCGGGCTCGGGGAAGACTTTTGGGTCGCGCATGACGACCGAGATTTGTGGGGTGAAAATGGTGCCCTTTTTGAAGTGTCGGCCATCAATTTCGACGTCTCTCGGCAAGCATCTGGTGATGTTCTGGGCGACCAAGTTGCAGCAGCGTTGACTTTCCTGAAATTTGATGGTATTATCGCAAAAATGAAAATTGCATTGCCATTTTGAAGAGGTTGAGAGTTGGCAGGTCCGATTAAACCTAGCCTTGGCCAAATTTGGCCAGAAAGTTTGATCAAATCTGAACGGTCAAGTCTTGACCTCCAATCCCCTCTATTCACCGTAAACTGGCTCTAAAATTTCTCTCTACGACCTGAACTCACCATAATAACAGCATTGGTGTAGGGCAAATCGGGTCTGTCCGCATTGCCAACCATTCGATTGCTTCCAACCACCGCATCCAGCTCTTTTTGCACCTTCTCTTGGATCTCCGGATACCTGATCAAATAAGCGATGACCCAGGTCAGCGTCGAGGAGGTTGTCTCTTGTCCCGCCATCCACAAGTCCATGCAAATGTTGCGGAGTTCGGGGAAATTGTAGTATCCTTCCGAGCTATTCTAAACAAAGGTTTCTTGATGAGAATTCCCCACCAACCTTTTGAATATGCCTCTGGCGTTCCAACAAATACGCGTCAATGAAGCTGTTGGGCTCCAGGTCTTGTGTGTAGTCGTTATCGGCCAAGTGCTCCTCGATTTGTCGGTCAAGGAAGGCGAACAACTCCAGCAATATTCGTACGGTCTCCTTGGCTTTGGAGTTGAGGATTGGGACCTGCATTAGTTTCGGGTTGTTCAACACCAAGCTGGCTCTGGCGGTGCCGAACGCCCGCATGAAAGCGGTCGATAAATCCTTCAAAAGATAGAACTCCTCTTCGCGCCCCTCGGTGAATCTGTAGCCGGCGACGATCGCGTTGATAATGGAGCCAACCGCAATGTCGGTGTACTTGAAAAAGTCGATTTCATCGGAGTCCAGTTGACCGTTCACTTTTTCAATTAGGTTCTGCACTTCGGCTTGGATCTGAAATGAGTTGCATTGGATGACAAATCTGTCCGAGGAAGAGCGAACTTGAGTCGATCTCGGTTTAGTGCGGGTGACTAGTAAGACAAGGCACTTCAACAAAATCGTATGGCGGCCCGACTGTCGAATTATCGGGTAAAATGTATAGTAAAGAGTAGCAGGAAATTCCAAAGACTTTTTGCCATGAATGGTACCAATATTGAGCTCTTATTCTCGCCTCAATTTTAGCAACTTACCCTCTCTTCCATTTGATTTTTCCCCAGTCCAAAATCTCTCAACACCTTCAACGCGAATCGGCGATATTCCCGCCAAGGCTCGCCACTGTTGAAGACCACTCCAAAGGTCCCCCCTCGGGCCTGATCGAGCGCACTGTTCGTTCGCACACGATCCGAAAAGACGTCAGCATTCTTCACAAAGTACTTAACCATCTCCTGGTACCCACAAACTGAGACTATTGGCATTTCACCCAGCCAGTACGTGTAAACTGGGCCGTATTGTTGAGTCCATTCGATGAACTTGTCCTCCCAACGCTCTTCTCTGTCTAAATCGAGCAGATTCCCGACGAATGGGAGGGGAGCCGGGCCGGGCGGGAGATCCCGACGTTTGTAGTAGTAGTTGTAGAAGAGAAGGAGGGAAATTGCGGAGAGGATGAGGAGGAAAATCATGATTTTTTGGCTGAAATTGCAATTAAAATTGGCTGATGAATGGACGGCAAAATTATCGATGTAAAAAGTGTAAAAGAGTGTAAACAGGGCTAGTGGCCCAGCATTTGTTGCACGGCAACCCAAAATAGAACTAAAATGTCTCCCGCCCACTTTTCAGGTAACCTCAAAACAAAACATTAGGTAAAAGAATCAGGGCCGGATGACAAATCAAAAAAAGCCCGGGCGGCATTAGACATGACTCGTTGGCCGGCCCGGGATCGCGGCCCGGCCGGTTTCAGCTTTGCCTCGACCCCGAAGCCATGTCTAGGAGGATGACCTTGACGCGATATGGATCGGAGGGCGCGAAGGCCTGGAAGTAAAAGCCCGACCCCTTGGCCATGTCTACTAATAGTTCAACGCCTTTATGTCGGGTTAAACAACAAACCCCCGCTTTGGTGATAAGACCTTGAACGCCGTTATCACGCAAGTCGATATGTTTCCAAAACTCCAATGAAACTGAACACAGTTCAATGAGTATATCAAGTCATTAACGCAATTTTTTCGCAATTTCTATCAAATTTTGTCGGAGAGAAGAACGCTTTTTGCCTGTATCTCCAACAATTTCGCGTAGAAAAGACTGATTTTTTGCAGAAATATTGCTCTAACCGGTAAGAGCAAGGCTGAAACTTTTCACGCATAAGCTGACAAAAAACGGGTTAATATTTCGTTAACTCCCGCTCTAAAAATATAAGGGTTTCCTTCGAAAAACAAGGTTGGAAACTTATTTCAGTTTGTGCCCAATTTCATTAAAATCTGAACGTCGCACTTTGAGCACTTCCCTTTAAATCAAGCCCTCTCAACTGCAGAAAAATCAAAAAACGTTATTTTGTTTGGGTGTTTCGCCCGAAAACAAGAGAGCAAGATCACAAAATTGTGAAAAAGCTCCTTGTGAATACCCTTTCAGCTATTTAAGAAGACATGGGCCGAAACTATACGGAAAGTTTCGAACTACAAGTCACAATTAACCCAATGACTATGCATACTTATAAAAGTGTCTGTCTACCTCTAGCGTTGGGATCTCAACCAATTTCCCAAGAAATCTGCATAAGACAAGGACTATAAATACTTCCGTTCGATCCCAAAAGCCCTCATTTCTTCTTCTGTCTCCCGCTTGATCGGTCGAGCAGTGCTAGTTTTGTGTTGTGTCTCAATAAACTATTCTAATTTGTGTCTATCCCTCGGAGCGGTGGCCAAAGGTCTTCCTTGACTTTTGACTCTTCGGTCAAAGGGTCTCCTTTGACCATAAGGGAGGACCTCTTCATGTGCATCAAGACGTTATATGGAGGCTGAGCCGGGTAATTTAATCTAGAAGAACTCGTCGGAGAGTCGATGTGCGGTCTCTTCCATTCGCGTCCCCAGATGGTCAACACCTTGTCCTCCACAGTTTCGTGGTTCCTCCATCAGAGGTCCTATTCCAGTTGGCTCGCCTTACTGGAATAGGACCTAGTCTATAGAGGTAGCGAGAGCATAACGGGATATAAAACCCCCGGGAAGACAGAATAGATGGCCGAAAGGGATATATAATATATATTTATCCCGCGTGCCGTCACAGCCAAACGGAACACTTAGTCAGCGTCGAACGTCGTCCATATCGTTGTTGTTAGTTTCGAAGAACTTACCTTCGTCGTTTGAAACTTGAGAACTCAAGCCGACCCAATCCGTCGCACGAAGACAAGTCAATCCAGTACTTGGATCCAGTTGGATCTCCATGGGTCATCCTGTTCTCATCAACTCCCTAACTGTGCAAAAAGCAACCAATTGCAAAGTACAAAGAAAAGTTTGTTTTTTGCACATTGCATGTTGCCGAAATCACTCCGACGACCTTATGAAAACTATACAACAAAGCACTTCTCTAACAAGCTCAATTTTTCTGTTCCTTGCGATTCATGTTGCATGAACATAGAGCTTTACTGTAAACATCTAAAAAATAAAATATTTTATTTTCGCATCGTTCCAACAGTCTTTTCAATTATTCAAAAATATTTGTAACAATTCATCGGCTCTCCGTTCTTTAACGCCTCAGCTGGACCTTGCACTGGTATGGTTCAGTCATTGTGGAGGCGCCATTCGTCTTCCTCAAGCTTGGCGGGACTTTTCCGGCCGAAAACTTGTACTGACTGAAGAGGTTGGCGGTGAAGAGGAACAGCTCCATTCGGGCCATTCCCTCGCCCAAACAGATGCGCTTGCCGATCGAAAATGGAATCAGCTCTTCCACTTGTTTCAGCTTCCCATTCTGGGCGATAAATCGGTCGGGATTGAATTTCTCGGGCTCGGGGAAGATCTGAAAGACTTGTTGGTTATTACTGTCCACCCTATTGGTTGTGGAGGAAGTTTTAGGGGGGTTTTTTGCTACCTTTGGATTCTGTAGGAGCACCGAGATTTGAGGCAGGATAATTGTGCCCTTCTTCACATTGTATCCGTTAATTTCAAAGTCCTGTTGAAGGGCTCGTGGGATATTTTGACTCAACAAATTGCAGCATCGTTGGCCTTCCTGAAAGCAATTTAAAAAGGCTTTCAAATTGTGAGCTCCGCACAGAATTCAAGCCCTCTTGAACTCACCATAATCACAGCATTTGTGTAGGGCAAATCGCCTCTATCGGCATTCCGTATGATCCGATTGCTTCCGACCACAGCGTCCAGCTCCTTCTGCATCTTCTCCTGTGCGTCGGGGTTGCGGATCAAATAGGCGATGATCCAGGTGATCGTGGAGCTGGTCGTCTCCTGCCCGGCCAGCCACAAGTCCATGCACACGTTGCGCAACTGCGCCAAATGATAGTAGCCCTCGCCGCCGGCACTCTGAATCTGCCGTTGGCGCTCCAACAAAAACGCGTCGATGAAATCGTGCGGCTCAGCGGCTTCAGTGTAGTCATTCTCCGCCAAATGCCGCTGGATTTGCCCGTCCAGGAACTCGAACAACTCCAGCATCACGCTGATCGAGTAGTTGGCCTTGGAGTTCACAATCGGCACCCTGAACAGAACGGGGTTGTTCAGCGCCAAGTTGGCGCGCGCACTGGTGAAGCCCTTCATCAGCTCGGTGGTGAGGTGCTTCATTTTGTAGAACTCGTCTTCTTTGCCCTGGAATAGTGGGACTTTTGGGGGGAGTAAGAAAAATTGAAAGAAAAGGTTAAATACCGACCTCAGTAAACCGATATCCACTCAGAATGGAGTTGATCACGGAGCCAACAGCAATGTCCGAGTAATTGAAGAAGTCAATTTCTTCGGCGTCCAAGTTCTTGTTCACTTTTTCAATCATCAAGTGGAGCTCTTGGAGGATCTGGAAAACTAGGTCATTTCATTTTATCCAAACTAACAAAGTTGGAAGTACCCCATGCGCGACGCTCAGATTTTCTTCAAATTTTGCACACAAGTCCGGCATAGACTAAGTATCAATTCTTAAAAGTTTTAGTTCCCACTTTGCAGGCGCAGCGGAGCTATTCAGCGATCTTTGCGGCTGAGAGTACGCAAAACGCGGAGAGCGGTCAGAGAGAAAAACACTTTTTTATCATAAGTTTGCCAGATTCCTGGGGAAAAAATTCATTTTTTGTGGAAACATTACACTCAGCAGTAGAATTAGGTATGAAACTTTTCGTGCCAAAATTCGGCAAAAAGTCTCAATTTTTCGCCGACTTTCGATCTAAAAATCTCGGTTGTTTCTGCAAAGCGCGAGCTAGGATTCTCGCATAGCTCCTGGAAAAAACTATTCTAAATTTGTGTCAAGTTTCATCAAAATTTATGCGTCGAACTTGGGGTACTTCGCTGTAAAAAGAACTTTTTGGCCATTATTGCCAGTTTCGTACGGAAAAAACTGATTTTTTTGTGGAAACCCCACTATCGTAGGTATAGGCATAAATGTCGAAAAAGTTGAAATTATTTGGTCCGATGAGGGCTCCTTGGCAAAGAGGGTACCTTGAAGAAATAAAGATGCAAAGAGCGGGCCAAGGCGGATTTTACAATAATGATTTCTTCAGATTGCCAAAAAAATAATATTTATCTTGAAGAATCCGCCTTGCTCCCCTCTTAACACATCATTTTTTTGCAAACCAAAGAAATGATTCTTAAAAAATCCGCCTATGTCCCCTCTCACCATATCATTTTTTCCTCAAGGTCCACTCTGTGCCCTAATGCCATCTTTGGACACAACGGGGACTTCTAAAAATCCCGTATTTGACCCAACTTACCCTCTCTTCCATTTCATTCTTGCCCAATCCAAAGTCTCTCAACACCTTCAACGCAAACCTCCGCTGCTCTCTCCAGCTATCGCCATTGTTTATAATCACCCCATACTGGCCACCTCGAATGGTCTCCACGATATTCTTCGTGTAATGCCGATCCGAGAAGACGTCCGCATGCTTCACAAAGTACTTGACCATGTCGTTGTAGTCGCAGATCGCGACGAACGGCAGATGGCCCAGCCAGTAGGTAAAAGTGGAGCCGTACTTGTTATTCCACTCGATGAACTTGGTCTCCCAACGATTCTCCCGGGCCAATTCGAGCAGGTTTCCGAGCACCGGGAGAGGCGTGGGGCCGGGAGGGAGATTGCGCCGCTTCCAGTAGAAATTGTGGAAAAGTATGAGGGCGAGGAGGGCGAGAGTGATGTACAGTATCATCTTAGGACCCTTAAAACAAAAGCTGTTTGGAAGAAACTTGGAAGAAAATGGTAATTACATAAATGAATGCGGTGATGGCGTTGCTCGAAATAATGACTACTATTTACTTGTCTGTCGAGGAAAATAATGAGCGGTCTGTCGCAACAAAAATAAAAAGGTCGTTTTTTTCAAAAAGTCAACACTTGTTGGTCTGTCCGGAAAATAATGTGGAACCGTCGCGCTTTTAAATTAGGCATGGCTCTCGGGCCGGCCAGAGCCGTTTCAACTTTGCGTCGGCCAGGCCCAGCGGCCAAGTCTACTTTAAATCGTCCGTCATCGCTTTACGACGGCTAGCCGCGGCTTGAGATTTGATGCGCGACTCCGACGAGTGGTCACATTCTTCTCACATTATTTTCCCGACAAAATGATAGTAAGCACAGTGTCGCTGCGCCGATCGCGTCGCCGAAGTGAAAAGCCATTTGATTTTGCCGCGACACAGTTCATTCTATCGCCGGCAATGCGATTTTCGTTGCGACAGAGTGCTCATTATTTTCCCGACAGACTGACCAAGTTTCCCCAAAAAAAAAATAAAAAATTCAGAAACGCAGAGAGGGAAAATTTCAGTTTAAATTAACCTTGAAAGCGTTGATTTCACTTTGAGCACAAGAAACATGCATGCATTTTTTTAAACTGATATCAGCAAAGACTGATTACTCAGGAAATTGATAAAAATACAAAGTTTCAAGCTCAAAAAGAGGCTAGAAAACAAAATAGAAAAGCAGCTCTTAATTGACGCTTGCAAGAAAAGACCACCACAACTTTACAGCCCTCCAGGCAACTGACTCAGATGTACCCCGTGTTTTGTGAAAGCAGCGGCTGTGTAATATGTGCACTTCCTTTTACACTGTGAGAGATGGTGCAACGAGCGTTTGTTTTTTTGGAAAACAAAAAAAATTTGGCGACTTGGTCCGAAGAGGGCACATGGGCGAAGAAGGCACCTAGGCGAAGAGGCACCTGGGCGAAGAGGGCACCAAAGCGAAGAGGGCACCGAGGCGAAGAGGGCACATAGGCGAAGAGGGCACCGAGGCGAAGAGGGCACATAGGCGAAGAGGGCACATGGCCGAGGAAGGCACATAGTCGAAGAGGGCACATAGGCGAAGAGGGCACCAAGGCGAAAAGGGCACGTAGGCCAAGAGGCACCTGGGCGAAGGGGCCACTTGGGCAAAAATGGCACCTTGAAAAAAAGATGCAGTAAGGAGGACCAAGGCGAATTTTTTTAAATCGAACAGTGATCAAACTTACCTGCCAAATTCAGCCAAGGTTTGGTTTAATCAGATCGACCAACTCTCAGACCCTTCAAAGTGACGATGGAGTCTTTGATTTTGGGGTAATACCATCAAATTTCAGGAAAGTCAACGCCGCTGCAACTTGTTGGCTCAGAACATCCCTCGATGCTTGTCGGAAGACGTTGAAGTTGATGGCGGTAACTTCTATGAAGGCGCAGTAATTCTGTCGCAAGTCTCGGTCCTCCTACAGGACCCTAAAGTCTTCTACGAGCTTCACAAATTCAATCCCGACCGATTTATCGACCAGAATGGGAAGCTGCGACAAGTGGAAAAGCTGATTCCATTCTCGCTGGGCAAGAGAATCTGCTTGGGCGGTTGATAAAGAAATTGACAACAAAAAATCATATTTATTTTCGCAATTCGATTCTACATTTATATGGTACAATTTTCGAAGAAGCTCCACTCTCTTTCTTCAGGCTTGGCGGGACTTTTCCGGCCGAAAACTTGTACTGATTGAAGAGGTTGGCGGTGAAGAGGAACAGCTCCATTCGCGCCAATCCCTCGCCCAAACAGATTCGCTTGCCAATGGAGAATGGAATCAGCTCTTCCACTTGTCGCAGCTTCCCGTTCTGGTCGATAAATCGGTCGGGATTGAATTTCTCGGGCTCGGGGAAGATCTGAGATTATTTTAGATATTGAAATTGAAGAGAGTCATATTCTACTTACTTTCGGGTCCTGTAGAAGAACAGAGATTTGTGGGAGGACAACGGTCCCTTTTTTATACGAAAACCCATCCAATGTAATGTCCTCGGTAACGGCTCTGGGAATGTTTTGGCTCACAATATTGCCGCATCTTTGGGACTCCTAAAAATGGCAAAATACCAGTGAAAATCAGAATCCATTTTTCAAAATTTTCACACCATAATGACAGCATTGGTGTATGGCAAATCGGGTCGATCTGAATTCCGGATAATCCGATTGCTTCCAATCACAGTATCCAGCTCTGTTTGCAGTTTCTCCTGAGCCTCCGGATAAAGAATTAAATAGGCGATGGTCCAAGTGATTGTCTCGGAAGTTGTCTCTTGTCCGGCCGACCAGATATCGAAACAAACGTTGCTAAGTTCGTTGAGACTGAAAGAAATGGGCTTACGGGCTGTAATGAGTTTTGCTTTACAAGGGAGGTACTACAAGTTGTCACGATTCCGTGAAGAATTCCCAGAAATTCGCATAAACCGGCGAATATTTTGATATAAATGTAATGGACCGATCGCTTTTCGGTCACTCGTTTGGGAAATAAACCTATATTTGTAATTGTTGGAAGTCCCCTTGATACAGTCCGGTGGTGGTCCATGCTCATTGGAATAAATTTGTGTGAGTTCGCAGTTTTTCAGCTAGAATTCTCTAGTTGTGGTCTCCAGGTTATTAGGGGTAGTTGATACTAGGAGTAGAGGGCAAGTTAGGGGCCTCAAAAGACCTCGACTTATAGCTGAGTCTTGACAAAGTGCGATGTTCAGATTTTAATGAAACTTTGCGTAAATTTAGATAACGTTTTCATAAGACATCTGTGAGATTCCTAGCCCGCGATTTGTAGAAGTGACCGAGATTTTTAGGTCGAAAGTTGGAAAAAATATGACACTTTTTTGCAAATTTTGGCATGAAAAGTTCCGTACCTATAGACGTGATCCAGTGGCCAAAAAAGGTACCATTTTGCATTTGGGAAGTATCAAAAAATGTAGCAAAATGCCTCCCTCTCCAGTTGAAAAAACTCTGTTTTGAAAGACTGCCTCACAAAAAGAGCGGGCGCGTTTTTGAAATCGGAGTTTTTTACTTGGAGGTATTTTGCTACATTTTTCGTACTTCCCGGATGCAAAATGGTACGTTTTTTGCTACTGGACATCAATAACACTCACCTAAAATGCCCCTCGCTTCCATTACTTCGCACCTGCTTCTCCCGTTCGACCAAAAATGCGTCCAGAAAATCGGTCGGCTCCAAGTCTTGGGTGTAATCGTTTTCTTTCAAATGCTTTTCAACCTGCCGATCGAAATAGGAGATCATCTCCTTTGTCACATCAACGCCAATCCTTGCTTCGGCGTTTAAAACCGGGACCTTCATCAGATAAGGGTTCATGAATACAAGACCGGCTGTAGCTGTGCCTACAGCCCTTGTGGCTTCTTTGGAGCAATCTTTTAACCGGTAAAACTCGTCTTCGGTGTCCTGAAAAAAGAAAAAACGTATTCTTGTTTCAGTCTGTCGGGAAAATAATGACGATATCGCTGTGCCAATGGCGTCGCTGAAGTGAAAAGCAATTTGATTTTGCCGCGACACAATTCATTTTCTCGGCGGCGATGCGATTTTCGATGCGACAGAGGGCTCATCATTTTCCCGACAGACTGATAGTTCGTTGTAAAGCTGCTGGATTGATTTCTGCCACAAGCATGAGAAAAACAAAGATCCATCTTATCTACCTTGCACCGTGCAAATGGTTATCTTACTATCAGTCTGTCGGGAAAATAATGAGGACTCTGTCGCATCGAAAATCGCACCGCCACCGAGAAAAAAAATGTGTCGCGGCAAAATCAAATTGCTTTTCACTTCAGCGACAGGTTCGGCGCAGCGACAAGTTACAATCAAAAGCGGGTCTAGTGAATCTTAAGGCTCAAAAAAATTATTGGTTATACAAAGGCTTCGTTTCTGTGAGGCGGAACGACCGAGCTTCGAGGATTTTCCCACGAGGGACCATCTGCATTTATTCAAATTTGATTGTACTTTCCTAGGTGGGGCTGCGCTATAAAAGACCTCCTTTCTACTGAATAAACCACTGGACTCTTGAGCTCTCGTCTTGTCTCGTTACTGGGTTGTCGGGCCTTTCGACAGTTTCTAGCTAACTTTCAGCTGGCTTCAGAGAGCTCATTGGCGTTCGCAGTTTCTCTTCAAAAAGTCCAACCCACCCCAACAAAGCTGTAGCCGCACATAATCGCGTTGATAATGGAGCCAACAGCCAGATCCGAGTACCGGAAGAAGTCAATTTCTTCTGCGGGCAAAGCCTTGTTAACTCTTTCAAGCAAGTAGTGAAGCTCAGTGATGATCTAAAACAACGGCTTAGATGGCTTTGCAGCTACAAAGAATACTTCAACTGACCCTTTCCTCCATCTGATTCTTCCCTAGCCCGAAATCTCTCAAAGTTTTCAACGCGAATCTCCGATGCTCCTTCCAACTGTCGCCATTCGTCATCACGATCCCATAAACACCTCCTCGGCTCAACTCCAGAAGACTCCGCAGATCCATACGGTCGGAGAAGATGTCAGCGTGCTTCACAAAATACTTTTGCATGTCTTTGTAGTCGCAGACAGCCACAAACGGGGCTTCGCCCAGCCAATAAGTAAATGTTGAGCCATATTTCTCTTTCCATTCACAGAACTTCGTCTCCCAACGATTTTCCGTGGCCAATGCGAGAATATTGCCGAGGAATGGGAGGGGTGCGGGGCCCGGAGGGAGACCGCGACGTTTGTAGATGTAGTTGTAGTAGAGAAGGAGGGAAATCGATGCAAGGAGGAGATAGAAAATCATACCTTTTCTGCTGAAATTTTAAAGAAACAATAAATTTGGATAGAGTTTTGACTGTATATTTGGAGACCTCATCTAGTGGAAAAAAACGTATCATTTTGCATCCGGGAAGCGTCAAAAAATGTGGCAAAATGCCTCCTTCTTCAACTAAAAAAACTTCGTTTTGAAGGGCTCCCTCACCAAAAAGAGTCGTAGACCCGAAAAAACATACAGTGACGGACATGACCCAGTGGCAAAAAATGTTCCATTTTGCATCCAGAAAGTATCAAAAAATGTGGCAAAATGCCTCCCTCTCCAACTAAAAAAACTTCGTTTTGAAGGGCATCCTCACAAAAAAAGCGGGCGCATTTTTGAAATCGGATTCTTTTCACTTGAAAAGGGAGGTATTTTGCCACATTTTTTTTCTGTACTTCCCGAATGCAAAATGGTACGCTTTTTGCCACTGGGCTTGCTGCCACTGTAAAAAAAAGTCAAAAAAATCGATTTTAGATGGGAATATGGCTTAATTAGCATTTCAATCCCTTTTTATATACCAGTGAATTTAAGGATAACCCAAAAACGTCATCGCAAACAGTCAAGAAGGTGTCGAAAGAGCAAGTCCTGTTCTTTTTATCGATATCACTACAACTGTGTTCCGTGTTTTATAACGCTCTAGCGACAAAAAAATAATCAGATTGTTCGTAAAACAGCCCCTCAGCGACAATTAAAGACCGCTTGTAATATGCATAAGGAACACAAAAATAGTCAAAAGATAACAATTTTTCATCGCATTTTCAATGATTTTCTACCTACTTCTCCTCTTAATTTCCTACTTTTTATTCCAAAAATACTACTGGAGCCGACGAAACCTGCCTTCAGGGCCTTTTCCATTGCCAATTGTCGGAAATATTTTCGATTTACTGCGGGAAAATCGCTGGGAGCGCAAGTTCTCCAAGTGGCGCTCGACCTACGGCTCGGTCTACACGTACTACTTGGGGGATTTGCCAGTGGTGGCGGTGTGCGACTACGATGATATGGTCAAGTATTTTGTGAAGAAAGGCGACCTTTTCGCCGACCGCTACATTGCCGACTTTTCGATGAATTTGCTCCGCGGCGGCGAATACGGAGTAATTTCGACGAATGGTGAGGTCTGGAGGGAGCAACGGAGATTTGCGTTGAAAGTGCTGCGGGATTTTGGACTGGGGAAAAACCAGATGGAAGAGAGGGTAGGAAAAAAGTTTTTTTTTTATGATTTTGAGATTTTTAGATCCTCGCTGAACTCCATTACACGTTGAATGTGATCAACAGGAAGATTGAGGAAGGCAAAGAGGAGATTGATCTAATCCCGGTGACCGACATGGCTGTGGGCTCGATTATCAACGCCATTATGAGTGGGTATCGGTTTACGGAGGTAGGCGACAAACTTAAAATAAAAATAAAATGGTCAAAATAAGGGCAAGGCCAACCTTCTATCAGCCTGTCGGGAAAATATTATAATAAGCCTTCTCTCGCATCGAAAACCGCATTGCTGCCGGGAAATTGAATTGTGTTGCGACAAAATATAGAATTTCTTTTCACTTGAGCGACCTGTTATAAGGTTCACTCTACAGTCAGGGGTCTGATCCAGTGGGGAAAAAAGTATCATTTTGCATCCGGGAAGCACCAAAAATGTGGCAAAATCCCTCCCTCTCCAACTAAAAAAACTCCACTTTGAACTGCGCGCCCTGGATAGAGTTTTGACTGTATATTTAGAGGCTTGATCCAGTGGAAAAAACGTAGCATTTTGCATCCGGGAAGCGTCAAAAAATGTGGCAAAATGCCTCCCTCTCCAAGTGAAAAAGCTTCGTTTTGAAGGGCTCCCTCGCAAAAAGAGTGGGCGCGCTTTGAAATCGGAGTTTTTTCACTTGGAAAGGGAGGCATTTTGCCACATTTTTGATACTTCCCGGATGCAAAATGAAACGTTTTTGGCCAATGGATCAGGTCCCCCACTGTAGTGCTTTTTTTTGAGGTTACTATGAAAAAAGTTTGAAATTACCTTGGTCCCCCCTTACCATTTTTCGCTCGACCCCGGCCTGGGAGGATGGAGTTCGATACTAGGCGGGCCAAAAAGTCTTGACATGTTTTCGCACCGTGCGGGCGCATGAATTCGGTGTCGCGACGAGGTGTCGCGCGATAAAACCTTTGGCGGGGTGCGAATGAAGAACGCACTGTGCGTTGTTTACCCTTTTTCAAAACAATCTTTTTGCACTGTGCGGTGTCGCATTGCACCGTAAATTTTCCTTGTCGCCGCGCGACAAATTTCATGCACGACGGCGCACTGTGCAGACATGTAAAGACTTTTTGGCCCGCCTAGTAAAGTCTCAAGACTTTGTGGCACGAGTAGTCTCAGTCTGTCGGAAAAATATTGAGCAAAATGTCGCTCGCGTCGCTAAAGTGAAAGGAAATTTGATTTTTCCGTGGCAATTACTTCCTCTTCGGCGATGCGATTTTCGCTCCGACAGAGTGTTCATTATTTTCCCGACAATATGATATTACGTTTTCCAGGGGCATGAAGAAGAATTCTACACAATAAAGAAGCTGACCACCGAAATCATGAACTGTTTTATGAGCGCTGGCGCCAATTTGGTCTTCAACAATCCCTGGCTTTATACCGTGCCAGTTGTTAATCGCCGCGCCAGGAGCGCCGTGCGCCTCATGCACGAAATCTTCGAGTATTTGAATTCGCAAATTCAGCATCATTTGAAGGAGAATGACTACTCTCACGACGCCGAAGCCACCGACTTCATCGACGCGTTTCTGTTGGAGAAGGCGAGAAGAGAGCGGGACGGCGAAGATGCCGGGATTTACCATGTCCAGCAGCTGCGGAATGTCTGCTTTGACATGTGGATTGGAGGCCAGGAGACGACCAGTAGCACCATTACTTGGATCATTGCATTTATGATCAGATACCCGGAGGCGCAGGCGAAAATGCAAAGGGAATTGGATGCTGTGATTGGAAGCAAAAGGATCGTTCGGAATGAGGACAGACCCGACTTGCCATACACTAATGCCGTTATTATGGTGAGGATTTTAGAATTAGATATTGGTTCGGGGGAAACTACTACAGTAGCGGACCCGATTCAGTGGCAAAAAACGTATCATTTTGTCTCCGGGAAGAACGAAAAATGTGGCAAAATACCTCCCTCTCTAAATAAAAAAAATCCGAAGTCAAAAACGCGCCCATTTTTTTTTGTGAGGGAGCCCTTCAAAAGGGAGCTTTTTCAGTTGAAGAGGGAGACATTTTGCCACTTTTTTTGATACTTCCCGGATGCAAAATGATACATTTTTTGCCACTGGATCAGGTCCGTCACTGTAATATCAGCCTGTCGGGTAAATAATGAGCGCAATGCCGCTATGCCGACCGCGTCGCTGAAGTGAAAAGCAATTTGATTTTGCCGCGACACAGTTAATTTTCTTGGCGGTGATGCGATTTTTGCTGCGACAGAGTGCTCATTATTTTCCCGACAGACTGATAAAACATTCATGGAATCAAAGAAAGCAAATTGTAAACTTTACAAACTTTTGAGCGCGAGTAACTTCATCCTTTCAGGAATGCCAACGCTCTTGCAATTTGTTCAGCCAGAATGTCTTGCGAGTTGCTGCCGAGGACACTGAAATTAAAGGGTATGCAATAAAGAAGGGGACAATTGTTGTCCCACAGGTCTCTGTGCTCTTTCAGAACCCCAAAGTGAGTAAAATACGATGCCCTCTTTTATTACAATCTAAAATGATCTCAGATCTTCCCCGAGCCCCACAAATTCGATCCCGACCGATTTATCGACCAGAATGGGAAGCTGCGACAAGTGGAAGAGCTGATTCCATTCTCGCTGGGCAAGAGGATCTGCTTGGGCGAGGGAATGGCCCGAATGGAGCTGTTCATCTTCACCGCCAACCTCTTCAATCAGTACAAGTTTGAGAGCGGAAAAGTCCCGCCAAGTTTGCAAAAACTTCATGGCGCTTCTACAATGACCGAGTCCTATACATGCGTTATTTCTCGACGTTAACTGTCTTATATGTTTGTGGTTTTCGGAAGAAGTAAACAGCTTATAATATAAGGGCAGTAGGGAGGCCTCTGTCTCTATTACTTTCAAAAATGTGGCAAAATGCCTCCCTCCCTGACTAAAAAAAACTCCATTTTGAAGGGCTACCTCACAAAAAGAACGGGCTCGTTTTTGAAATCGGAGTTTTTCACTTGGAGAGGGAGGTACAGTGAGGGACCTGATCCAATGGCAAAAAACGTCTCCTTTTGCATCCCGGAAGGGACCAAAATGACTCCAAACCATTCCCTTCGTAAGCTAAAAAACTCCGCTTTGAAAAGCGCGCCCTTTGTTTCAAGGCGGGCTCTTCAAAGCGGGGGTTTTTAGCTTAGAGAAGGGAAGGGTTTGGAGACATTTTGGTCCCGTCCGGGAAGCAAAATGAGGCGTTTTTTACCATTGGATCCGGTCCCTCACTGTATTTTGCTACATTTTTGATACTTCCCGGATGCAAAATGGTGTTTTCTGCCACTGGACTGTAATTGCAAGATCGTGTTAAGGAAGTAAATAAAAATTAATCGGAAATCTTTTTTTTGACAATAAAAAATGCATCAGAACTTTTATCAAGCACTCGGCTGTATTCTGTGACTTGTTCTTCCACAACGCTCAAGGGAAAAAAGAGGGCTTTTGTTACTTCTTGCAAAGTTTTTGATTACATATTTTGGCGCTTCCAAATGATATTTTGGTTGCTTATCCTACTTTTGGCCCTCCTTCTTTTCTACAATTTCCATTACAAGCGGCGCAATCTCCCGCCAGGCCCAACTCCTTGGCCCTTCGTCGGAAATGCGCTAACATTGTCGCGCACCAACCGATGGGAGACCAAGTTTCTGGAATGGAGCCGGACGTACGGCTCCACCTTTACGTATTGGCTGGGCGAGTTGCCGGTCGTGGCGGTGTGCGACTACGCCGATATGCAGCAATATTTCGTGAAGCAGGCCGACCTCTTCTCGGACCGCTACAACCAACATTTGACGAGGCTCCGATTCGGCGAATACGGGATTTTGATGACGAACGGAGCGGTTTGGAGGGAACAGCGACGGTTCGCTTTGAAGGTGTTGAGAGACTTTGGGCTGGGGAAGAATCAAATGGAAGAGAGGGTAAGTTCTGTTTTTGAAAAATTTTGAGTCGACAAAATATCAGCCTGTCGGGAAAATAATCAACTCTCTGACGCATCGAAAATCGCTTCGCCGCAGAGAAAAAAAATTGTGTCGCGAAAAAATTAAATTTCTTTTCAATTAGCGACATAATCGGCGCAGCGACGTTTCTCCTATTATTTTCCCGACAGACTTGCTGCATGTAAGATTTCCAAATTGCGTATTTTAAAAATTTTTCTGTTTTTGGGAGATCTGTGAAAAAACTTTAAATCCATCAAAGTGGCTTTGTAGAACAAAAAAAATTTACATTTTTTAATTCCCGCCAAATCCTGGCATTCTGTTTCAAGGCTCTCCTTGAAAAGAGTTTGTTGTCCAGAAGTACGAACTTTAGATTTTCCTTAAACTTTGCGCACACGTCAGGCATAAGCCACGAACTATTATAATTCCTGAAAATTTTCGCTGACGCTTTTCAGGGCTACTTCCCTTGTGAGGGGTTCATTTATAATACGACATCTTCGATTTCAGATCCTTCTGGAGCTTGATGACGTCATCCGAAAGACGGATCGGATTTGCGGTCCGGAAGAAATTGATTTTTTCAAATTCACCGACATTGCTGTTGGCTCGGTCATCAACTCCATTGTGAATGGCTACAGATTCACGGAGGTAATTCCTGTTCTAGGGATTTTAGCCAAAATGTTGAGTGGCCTAATTGACCGGTAATTTCGTGAGATTTCAGTGGTTTTGGGAGAAATTGGTCAGATTTTTTCATTTTTTTTTTTTTTTTTTGAGAATTTTGGGCAATTTGCCCTGTCAAGTTTGGGCATTTGACCAGTCAAAAAATTGAGATACTTGAGCTACCATTTTTAGGCAAATCGGTCAAATTAGTGTTGGGGAAATTGCACGTCAAACTGAGATAAGCTAAAACAGTCCGGTGAATGAGTTGGCAATTTGCCAAAAAAAAGACGCGAAAAAAGGTTTTGTCGGGGAAGAAATGGGGAATTTTTGGGGCGAGAGAGTACGTTTTTGCGTGTCTTTTTTTTCTCTTTCGCTGCGAAATCAAGACGAAGTGTAAAAAACCGATAGCGAAGGGTCTAATCCGGTCACCGGACTCCTCGGTTTGACGTGAGTTGCCCTGTCATATTTCGTCAAATTGCCCATCCAATTAGGGAATAAAAGTAAATTTTTTTTTGAGAATTTTGTTCAACGTATCCTGTCAAATTTCATCGAGTTGATCGGTCAAGTTTTTGTATGTTGACTGGCGAGATTCGGGCAACATTTTCTGTTAAATTTGGGCAAGTTGACCGACAGAATCTCAATCACTTCCTCAAAATTTCTTCTCCGCTTTTCAGGAGAATTCCCACGAATTCTACCGCCTCAAAGACCTCACCAAAAATCTGATGATGGCCACCCGAAACTGGCGCTCCAATTTGGCCACAAACAACCCCTGGCTTCAACGGTTCTCGTTTTTCAAGTCCAAAATGGACATTGCGATTAACTACTTCAACGAAATCACAGCGTTTCTGAATCAACAAGTCGCGAAACACTTGGAAAAAATCGATTATTCGCAGGACTTGGAGCCCAACGACCTGATTGACGCGTTTTTGTTGGAGCGACAGAGGCGGATTGCGGCTGGAAATGAGGGAAGTTTTGTCATTCGGCAGCTGAACACGGTCGTATTCGACTTGTGGCTGGCCGGACAAGAGACCACCAGCAGCACGTTGACCTGGATCATTGGGTATTTGATGAGATTCCCTGAGGTTCAGGAGAAGCTGCAAAAAGAGCTGGATACCGTGATTGGGAGCAAAAGGATTGTGAGGAATTCAGATAGAGCCGATTTGCCCTACACAAACGCAGTTATTATGGTAAGAGAAATTCAAAGTTTTGCGGGACCGATCAAGGACCCTAAAAGTCGTGTCCTTTTTTATTACAGTGAGGGACATGAACCAGTGGCAAAAAACGTAGCATTTTGCATCCAGGAAGTATCAAAAATGTAGCAAAATACCTCCCTCTCCAACTAAAAAAGCTCCGCTTTGAACTGCGCGCCCGCTTTTTTCTGAGAGGACCCTTCAAAACGGAGTTTTTTAGCTGGGGTGGGAGGCATTTTGCCACATTTTTGATATTTCCCGGATGCAAAATGGCACGTTTTCTGCCACTGGATCAGGTCCGCCACTGTATACTTTTCGGGTCGACAACAATTCGCGTCATCACAAAATCGATCAATACGGGGCGTAGGGCAGGTGGAGACTCAAAAAAAGGTTGTAGGAAATGTCTACGAGGCCTGGCAAAGCCGGTGGATGATCGGCGGACGCACGGCATAGGCTCGGCGAAGACTTGCAAGGTCTCCACTTTTTCCAATTTTATCTATATTTTACCAAAATCGATAAAATTAAGGCTTCCTTTACCTGAGTTATTGCAACATATAAAAGTAAAATTCCCATCTCCTTTAATATATGTCTTTAGGAATGCCAAAGATGCAGTAATATTCTGAGTCAAAACGTCGCTCGCTCCGTGCATCAAGACGTGGAAGTGAACGGTTATTTGTTGAAGAAGGGAACCACGATAGTCCCACAAATCTCTGTGCTCCTACAGAACCCCAAAGTAAGTCAAATACGACGACCGCTCTTACTAATATCTAAAATGATCTCAGATCTTCGCCGAGCCCGAGAAATTCAATCCCGACCGATTTATCGACCAGAATGGGAAGTTGCGACAAGTGGAAGAGCTGATTCCATTCTCGCTGGGCAAGAGGATCTGTTTGGGCGAGGGAATGGCCCGAATGGAGCTGTTCATCTTTACTGCCAACCTCTTCAATCAGTACAAGTTTGAGAGCGGAAAAGTCGCGCCGAGTTTGCAAAAAGTAACAGGGAATTCGATGATGATGAAGCCTTATAGCTGTGTGGTTCGGAGGCGGTAACAAAATGCTAATTTATGAATACAATTCTTATTTTTGAATGCATTGGATAACAGAGATAAAATCATAAAATCAAAGTTAAACTTCTGTTCCTACCATAGAGAATGGTGTTTATATAAAAAAATTAATGTTTTCTCACAGTGCGCGTTGCCGAAATCCCTCCAGCGACTTTCCTATAGGGTCTTTGACATGCTCCTTCGAATGGCGTAAGCAGTTTTTTGATGGCTCCAACCAAGCCTTTGATACGGCAATTTTGCATTGGTATACCTTCGTAACAGAGGATATACCAAATCTTGTGAAAAAGAAACTATTTCACCTGAATCCCCATAGTATTAGCCGCAAAATATAATGAATTAATATATGAGTGTCTAATTTCATTATTCCTTTTTTGTATAAAAGCACACAACTATTGTGAAAACGCTTCATTTCCTCGTGCCGTAACTCGGCTAAAACTTCGAAAGTGCGCTCTCCAACCTATGCCAATAACTGCTATTTTTGACTATTTTGAAATCAGCGACCAATACCAGTCTGTCGGGAAAATAATGAGCCCTCTGTCGCAGCGAAAATCGCGTCGCCGACGAGAAAATGAATTGTGTCGCTGTAAAATCAAATGGCTTTCTACTCCAGCAACGCAGCGACATTGCGCTCACTATTTTCCCGACAGACTGATATATACCAAACCAACTCCTATGAAAATCACATCATTTCATCTGGGGATCTTTCCTGCCCTCTGATTGATAAAAATTTATCCGAACTCTGAGTCATGTTTATGTAATTCAAATGTGACGGACCTGATCCGGTGCCAAAAAACATACCATTTTGCCTATGGGAGGTATCAAAAAATGTGGCAAAATGCCTCCCTCTTCAACTAAAAAGACTCCGTTTTGAAGGGCTCCTTCAAAAAGTAAACGGGCGCGTTTTAAAAATCGGTCTTTTTTACTTGAAGAGGGAGGTATTTACTTTGCCACATTTCATTTTTTTTGATACTTCCCGGAAGCGAAATGGCACGTTTTCTGCCACTGGATCAGGTCCGCCACTGTATTTAGCGCCTTACTTCTGGCACTTCTGTCCGATCATGTCTTTATAAAAGCGGTCTGCCAGAACTGACTCCACCTTCTTCTCGCTTTCGGTCTGATATGGGATCCGTCGTGGTATCTTTTAGGCGCTAATCTAAGGAAATCTTGAAACTCCGGAGCGGCTGTAAAAACTAAAATTACTGTCTAAAACCACTTCACAAAAACCCAGCTTACTGGCCGATGTTGAAGGCAGGTTTCTCAATACGTCAGAAAAGTCTCTCCCTTGCATGGCTGAAAATCACGTTTAATCAAACTGCAATGGAAGTCAGGGAGTGATTTTTTTGTGCTATTCAACCTGGAAGTTCTCTAGTTTTAGCCTAGCTCTGAGAAATGTGTTAGCATGACACCCATTTATAATAGAATGTACCAGTGGTATAAAATACGGTAGTATGCGGCAGCCAGTACAACCCAGAGTGTCCATAAAACAATTTAGGTTAAACATTGTTGTATGCAATTTGGATGACGGATTTTCTAAATCGCTTTTAGAACCTTTGCAATGCCCACAATATCTTGACGTGCCCCGCGAAGCTGCTGGAAAAAATCTACGGAATTTATGGCATATTATTGTGTGAGTAGATGTAAAATACCTCAAAATAGGTGATAACCTATCCTAGGACCCGATCAAACGGAAACTGGTCGGAATTTAGCCCAAATTTGGCGTGCAGGCTCAATTCATCGTTGTCAATGGCCGGACAGTGGATTTAGTTAGTGAGGTAGCTCCTTTTTTACGTACCAGCATACCCTTCAAAAACGGCTGCAGCCAGCGATTTTACACCTTATACGATGAAACATGTCCGGAACTATACTTATTGCCTCCGTATAGAACTAAATGAGTCGTCATAGCCTTCGTAGGAGTCTTTAAAACTATAGAACTATTATAGTAAGTCAGTGCCAGCTAGGTTGAAGCCTTTTCTCCTAACTTTAGTTCCTAAGCTTGGGCGCAGTTCGCAGAGTAACTTTGTTGTGGCCAGAATAAGGAATTTTTTGTCCTATACTCTATGACGTCCCCAAGCCGTCAGCGACTCTTTGCCGAACAAAGCTTTTGACTAATTGGCCTTTTTTTGCTCCTTACCAGTGCAGATGTCTAACTCGGGAAAATGGCGGCGGACAGAACGCCGAGCCGGAACAGAGACAGTAAAAAATACTAGGAAAATAAAAAAGTTTGGAATGCTCGGCATCTGTGTTGTCCTCGTATTCTGTATTCTGGAGCTGTCTTTTCTTTTATACGAGGGAATAAAATTAAAAATTTGCGAAATTATGAAAATTATACATGGCGAAAATAATCAAATTAATCGATAAAACTAATTTTTTATTGTTTTTTTAAGAGTCGCAAAAGAGGATTTAGTCCAAAAAAATAAAAAGTTTTTGCCAATGGATAAATAAGGTTATGGAGTCATTGTTTGAAGAGGTTAGAGGTTACAGACCCACTCTTTCTCTTTTCAGACTTTTGTCCGCCCTTATAAGGCCTTAGTATTATACTTTACCTGGTGATCTTCTCGGATTAGTAAAATTTATTCAAAATCTGAGACAAGTTTTCAAAATATCTCAGCGTCTTACTTCGACCACTTCTTCGGAATCATGCTTGCTTAGGCCGTAGTTTCTTGGATTTTCTCAGTGATCGGAGCGGTGGTCAACTGCAACCCTAGGGGCTCCTCTCTTTCCCAGCCCATCAAGAGCTTACATGGGGCAAGGCCGGGGGATTAAAACGCGAAGAACTCGTCGGAGAATCGGTGGCCGGATTCATTCATTCGCTTCAACGTTTTTGAGCCAAGTCGTAACTACGCAACACATCATTCCGAGTATTTTTCAAGCAATTGGTCACGAAACTTTTACTTTCCTGAACGCTGAGAAGCCTGGCTCCGACTTTGGGCTCGGACGCCGGAGCCAAGAGCCGGCTCCGGAGCCGTGGCAATCTCTGATTCAGCACCTTCTTGTTCTCCGCGATCTTGGTGGTTACTCCACTAAAGTTGGCGCTGGTACTGGACCCGTTATATAACTCGAAGAAAAGATCGTCGAGGCCTTATGAGAAGCCGCCATTCGCTTCCTAGTGCCTCAAGACGTTATGGAATTTTTGAAAGGCCTCCTAGTCTATGACGGATTTATCAGTGAATGCCAAATGCCGACGACGATATAGACGTGCTGCCTGGCCCGTTAAACTTCAGGTCCGACCAGTCCGTTTTCAAACTTCCACTATTCAACCCGGCCCCGGTTTAGGATACCATGGCTCGCCGGCCCTCCGAGCAAAGGACATGTAAGTAGCAAATTATAAACTACAACCTTACTCTCTGATTTTTTCAAATTTTTGTTGAAAAAAATCGCTGATTCAAGTAAAAATTTTTGACGTCTTTGACAGCTTCGAGTCATGAATTTTCTCTTTACAACACTACCTTCGCATTAAGCGGACGGAATGGCCCCGTGTCGTCCGGAAATTCCAGTTTCCCTCCGTTTCTGGTCCAAGTTTTGATTGATGCGCGGCGTCGCGGAATTTACTCGACGGAATTATAAGAGGCGTTGAGGTCCTCCTCCTCCTCCCACCGCTGCGTTGATAATGTCCCGCAGTAACGTCAGGAGGGGCTTTGTTTGCTCGGTTGAGACACTTTTTCCGCGGCGGCTGTCCGACCTCCAGCCGCGACAGGGAGCCCCGGTTTCGCCGGGGGCTGTGGGGGTTCAGGTTGGAGGAGATGAGGAAGTTGAGGATCAGGGTCTGAGAAGATGGCTGATGTAGTTTTTAAGTACTTTTGAGGATTTTATTTTGACTTTTTGACGGTGCTTCTTCTATTTAAGTTTGCCTTGAAATGAAGATTTCTCTGCGATTTTCTCAGCCCGGAGAATAACGGCGGTTCATCGCAACAAAATGTTTTGCCTCGTCGAAAAAGGGGTGCAGTCGCCCACCAAATCTCCAACTGCGGCTAGCCCTTGCAAAGCGATGATGGCCGATTCCAAGCCGCGACAAATCCACATTATTTTCCCGACGCACTGATAGTCGGTGCAACAAGTCCTGAGAATTTTTTGCGCCCTCTAAATTACGACGCCCCCCGAAGAAAAGAATTGTCGCTGCGAAAAATAGGAATCGCGCGCGACGTAGTGCAAAAATCTTTACGAAAATGGAAATATCAGTCTGGAAAATAATGAGTGGAAAATAGGCATGCCTCTGGGGCCGGCCCGGCCAGCCGATGTATCCTTTCAAACCCGCCCGGCCCGCCACGGCCCGGCCGCAGAGGTATGGCTAGTACTCGAAAGTTAAGTCACCGCCAGAGATTGCCACGGCTCCGGAGCCGGCTCTTGGCTCCGGCTCCCGAGCCCAAAGTCGGAGCCAGGCTTCTCAGAGTTCAGAAAAGTAAAAACTTCGTGATCTTTTTACACCAAATTGTTTGAAAAATACTGGAAAGGAAGTGTTGCATACGACTTGGCTGCAAAAACGTGCGTTTTCTGATCTCTGGCACCAATAACATTTATTTTTGAAAAAGTTTTTAAAAAAAAATTTTTATGGGAGCCGTGATTCGGAGCCGGAGACCTTTTTAAATTTTTTATGGGAGCCGGGAGCCGAAATTTTGACCGTGGCAATCTCTGGTCACCGCCAAGAAAATGATTTGTGTTGCGACAAAATCAAATTGCTTTCCACTTCAGCGACCCGACCGGCTCAGCGACAGGGTGCTCATTATTTTCCCGACAGACTTTTTTTTAATAACTTCTCTGATGAACCCGTAAAATCGGTCAAATTCCGGCGTCCGTACCCTCCACCTTCAAATGGTCTCAGTCCACGCAATAAGCTCACCATAATAGCAGCGACAAAGCGCTCACTACTATTTTCCCGACAGACTGATAGAAGCGGCTTTATTTTTCGGTTCCTTGGCTATACAGAGGTTTGATTGCAAATTGTCAGACTTCTGTAAAGACCGCGGAATCATGACCTTTTCGTTACCTATC